TGTAATATGTGAAAAAATTCAGAGAAATCAATCACGTAATATGGATTCAAAAAAAATTATATCAAAATATGAAAGTCTTATCTTGCTTGTAGTCATTAATTTTGTGTTAATGTGCTGTTTAACTATTTCAACTTAATTTATATATAAATAAAAAGCTTTAGAAATGGCAAAAAGAACGCGAGCTTCGTAGCAAGTGTTTTCCAGGAAGGAAAAAAACAAACAAACAACCAACGAAGAAGGAGAAGCAAAACAAACCACATTTGTTAAAGCATTGGCAAGACTGAGTAAAGCCTGCTTAATAAGCCCGATCGAACACGCTGGCCTGTTGTGGGTAAACTGATGGCCCAAGACATCTTATAATTACGTGATTCTGATCATTGATGAGGTTCTGTTTTTGCTGGAAATATAATTATATCTTGGATGTAATTAAGGATCAATGAAAGTGGAGTTAGGGTAAGAGACATGTTACAGTAGATCATCGATATATCACAAAGACATCAGAGAGGAGGACGTGTTTGCATCCATGCCCATACACACTAAAGCACCAAGTCACGGAAAGGTTACAAAAAGAGGGAAAAAAGACACTGGAAGTTGTAATACAACGCTACTAGGTGACAAACAGAGGTCATAGACTTCATGTTCATAACGATACTGAGACACGCTTCAAATCATGGGTCACTCAGATTGCTCATGGAGGGTACTTGGTATAATTGATGAGCATAAGGTGTTTTTTCCCGGACATCTTGTACACGGGCGGCTTTTTGACTGGAGGCCTGTGAGTGGGAGACTTCTCAACTGATGGTTCTTTGGAAGTGGGAGGCTTTTGATGAATATGCGGGTTGTAAAGGATTTTTCCAGATGGAGGCTTATGAATAGGTGGTTTTTGAAGAGGTGGCCTGTGAACGGGCGATTTTTGGAAGGGAGGCATGTGTATAGGTGGCTTGTCGGGAAAGCCAGAGGTGGTGAGAAACAACGCCACTCCACACAGGAACACTAAGGGAATGGGTGACATTGTCAACAAATGATGTAAAACGAAGAGCGCATAAACCTTTGAATTTATAGTACAAGAGAAATGGCGCAGCATCTACAATATTTTGCCCATTGATTGATTGATGTTCTTCACAGATCGCCAGTTATCGCTTTCCTCCAACGAAATGCTGCCTCTTTGTGTTCGGCCTGTAAAATCACAGACGATCTGAATGATTCAGTGGTTTCAAAAATGGGCAACCCTTTCATTTACATTTACTATTGCAATTAGCCACCACCGAAGCAGCTGAAGGGGCACGTAGGAACGCAAGTACCAATAAAGCTAATTGTGACTTTTCAATCACCCAAAAATCGACCATGCTTCGATTTGATTCGTTTTTTTTTTTCCATAGTCACTGCCCTCGTTTTGGGAGTGGTAAATATCACTATATATCACGTATGTATGATTAAACCAGGCCTGTAGATGGCAAGTATTTTCTAGAAAATAAGGGGAAATATAAACAAGGTTCTCAAGGCCTAACGGCAAATGGGTTGTCCACTATTTCTCGGGGGCCAGAGTTGTAAAAGCGTGGTAGACTGAGTAAGGCTTATTTAAAGAGTCAAAACAGGCCCGGCCCGTTCTAAGAATCATCCTGTTCTTTTATAAATTTTTTTTTCCGTTATCTGTCAGGAAAAGTTAGTCCAATTAATAAAGAATTAGTTCATAACATACAAGATCATAAGTTTGAATCTTATTATCAATATGAGGACTTTATCGATAAACAATATGTAAGTACATCTGCAAATACTTTTTAAACTTAAACGTATGACTTTACTTTAATAAACCCAAATATCCAACTCATTTAAATTTTTTATAAAAAAATTCTCCCTTTTGTTATCTATTACCTCCTGTCTTAATTACAATACCTTATTTATAATTATTGTAATTAAGAGCAGAGATAGGATAATTTTTATTTCGATGATACATGATATGAGTGGTGATGGGGAGACGCACGTAGGAAGACCGACAGGAGAGGGCATACAGACACGTCGGGGGATGGCAGTGGCAAAGAAGTCGCAGAATGATTTTTATTTATAAATAATATTATCTGCTCAATTATTCAGCGGCGGCAAAGTTGGACTACACCAAATGCATAATACAGACGCTGATTTTTATTATATATTTTCTTTGGCCTGAATTTTTATTATATTATTTGGAGTACCAGAAGCAACTTGTACTGACTTGCAAACAGACAGTGCCATTTCTTATACACGTGAATGCATTAATTTTTATTTTAAATTAAACATATTTGTCAAATCAATATTTTCTTAAGAATGTTGGCCAAAAACTTTTTTCTTGAAAATAAATTTGCCTTAATAAATTAAAAATCCATTATAATCTAAGAAAGGAAAAATATTTAAAATAATTATTTTCTTTCATTTTTTCATCAAGAGTCTTGCGATGTGCAGTAGAAAGTTTGACATGTTTATATTTGAGGGAGACGAGAATTTTTTAATCATGTGAAGAAAATTTTTTAGAATGAAATAGAAGTTAAGTGTGAGCTTTTTTTTTTTGGGTGGGGAAGCAGTCCGTTAAAATGCTTTTAATTTAATAATATTTTGACCCCGGTATCGGGTTACGACCCGTCTTCAATTTTTTTTCTTCCTCCACCCCCCATAAAAAAAAAACCCTTTCTTTTCCTGGCGAAAACCCAATAAAAATGATATTTCACACTACATCAACAAGTGGTTCTCTCCATTATAAGTTTAGACAGATTATTAAATTTAGCACAGTTATATTTTAAATATATTATACAATTCCTAACTATAAATATACAAAAACCTAAAAATGAAAAAAAAATGTTACACACGCTTATTAATGCATATAAATATATATTCTTAATTGTGATTGTTGGGCGTTGGCTATACATCTACTGAATTTGTCATCAGGTGATGATATATGCACCGAACGCCTTCTTTAATCTTCAATTTAATTTATTGAACGAGATAATCCAATTTTTCGTGCGGACATATATGACCCGGTAATCTTTGTTTATAACAACTTTGTAAGTAGAGGGAAGTAAATTGAGCTCGTGAATAACCAAGTATCGTCCGGAGTTCACTGGTGAATAGCTGGCTTTCGAATTCATTAAGTTCAGAAATGGACCACTTAAAACCCCTTACGAATTTATAGTAACGTTGAATTTTGAGTTATTTTCCGTAGCATCTTGAAGTTGTGGATGTTTCATTTCAAAAGGAAAAGAATTAAGCCATTATATGAATTAAATATACAGTATTAATCCGAGCTTATCCACTACGCATAAATTAACCTATGATGTCTTGCAATCACGATTACTAGAAGTTGGCGAGAATGATCAGTGATTAGATTCTCAGAAAGACATATAGTAAATATATATCCAATGAATTATTTCGTATTTTTTCTTGGTAAAAAAAAAATCATTACAAAATTCAGCTTCCTGTTAAACATTTAGAGAGAGAGACTAGCATAGTATAGCCTGGACGTCTATTGAAATTCTGATCATACTTAATTACAACGACGGAGGAGCCGAGGAGGTATGAGGGCGTTGTCGGACGAGGGATAACGGTGCGTCTATAATATTTTATGAACATTAAAAGTTAAAAATAAAAAACAAGTCCAGGCGGATAGGTGTGTGATCTCGGAATAATATAAACAAAGAAAAGAAATTCAGATATCTAAACTTAACTCGATTATCAATTGTTGACTGGTAGATTTGCCGTTATAATACTAATACTAATTCAGAACTATTCTAAACAAGTTTTTGGCCAATTATAAAGGGAAATAGACTCATTCCCCCAAACATGAAAGCTCGACTCAAGCGTCTCCAATCCATTGCTTGGCTGATCTGAGAAAAAACCCTACGATTCTCAAAGAGCTAAGGTTTTACTATCCCCGGTCTTTAATATAAGAGTTAGTTGACTAATTTTAGTAGGTCAAAGAAACTAGTTAAATTAGTTATTTGTAATAAATAGGTGTTGTCTTTCCTAAAATATCTTTACTAATCAAGTGTATTGGCCAGAACTACTATTATTATAAGGATTACCTTAAAAAAAAAAAGACAAATGTAAGAGACAAATTGGATTGACGGTCTTATATTCAGAACCAAAATAAAAATTAAACAAGCTTTTATATTAAGGATAAGAAGTAGTAACTTTTTAAGAATTACAAAAATAAGTCATCAGCGATATGCTCTTTTTAATTAAATTATTATTCATACTGATGACATTTTTTGTTAAACTGATATTTTGTATTCGTTACTATAGCGTACTACCAGTAGACAAAAGTATCTTCTTTTTTTTTTTACCTCGTACAAAAGTCTCTTTGAAACATCAAAATATTAAGCGCTGATTTTATAAATTTTAAATATTTTTATAAGTTCCTCATAATTTCGTGTATCACTTGGATCGTTTACATTTTTTCAGTCATGTGTGTAGTCTTTATGATTTCTGCTTTAGTAGATGCGGATCTTTTTATTAGATCATCAGTCTGGTAAATATATATAGATACATAATCCTAGTTACCTGGGGTTTCAGAATATTGCACTGCACAAGTATTAATTAGTTTTCTCTCCCTTTGCTGGTCTTGACCAATTATTTGGTGAAATTGGGTGTACCAAAAAATGAATATGTCAATCAATTAATGGTAGAGAGAAAATGCGAAAGAGAAGCGAAAGTGAACTTCTTCTAAAAGCACGTACAACTACAATTTATTGTGTGGGTATTCGTAATCGATCATTTGTCTTCGATTTACCAAAGCTTTCATTGGGTCATAAGTTTACAATACCACTGTTACTTAATCACGCTGCTCACTAAATCGTATATTACCCTCCTAAAAGCGTTACACACTACATGATGGCCGTTTTATCGAATGAGACAATTACGCAATTTCCTTTGTGCATAGCTACAAGTCTAACCCAGTTAATTATTTTTAGTTGGTTACAGTAACTTATAATATTAGTATAGAGAGTTAATGTAACGATCAGTGAAAGAAGAAGTAGGCTAAGAGACATGTTATCATAATAGATCATCGATATTCCGTAAGAGAGTTTGCAGCCATACCCATACATGCATACTAAAGAACCAAAAAAAGAAAAAGAAGAGTTGAAATTCTCATACAACACGAGCTAGGTGACAAACTGAAGTCACAGCCTTTATTTTCATAATAATACCAAAACATGCTTCAAATCAGGGCCCGGGGCTCCTCATCATCAGTTCTCTGTCGTTGACGGAGGGTGCTTAGGATAATGACCATAAGACGGTGACGGGTGGGTTGGTGGTTTTTCCGTAGGTGGCTTGTAAACTGGTGGTTTCTCTACTGGTGGCTTGTAAACAGGAGGCTTCTCAACTGGTGGCTTGTAAACAGGAGGCTTCTCAACTGGTGGCTTATAAGTAGGCGGTTTCTCAGTTGGAGGTTTGTAGGTGGGTGGCTTTTCAACTGGTGATGGCTTGTATGTGGAGGATTTCTCAATTGGTGGTTCGTGAACAGGTGGTTTTTTAATTGGGGGTTTATAGGTGGGAGGCTTCTCAACAGGTGGCTTGTAAACAGGAGGTTTCTCAACTGGAGGCTTATAGGTGGGAGGCTTCTCAACAGGTGGCTTGTAAACAGGAGGTTTCTCAACTGGTGGCTTATACGTAGGTGGTTTGTAAACAGGAGGTTTCTCAACCGGAGGCTTGTATGTAGGTGGTTTCTCAACAGGTGGCTTGTAATCAGCCAAGCCAGAAGTGGTGAGAAATACCACCCCAAAGAGGAACGCTAACAAGTGCTTGGGAGACATTATATTGTTAATTGAGCTAGCTAGCAGTGATGTTGCAAGCTGAAGAGAACATGAGCTTTGAATTTATACTAGAAGGAAGGAGGTGTGTCGGAATTATTTCTGAATATTTTATTAACTAAAATATATTTAACAAAAATAAAAATAAAAAAAGTCAAAGCTGGTAGGCATATCATCCGGAATATCAACATGTATGTGTGAAAATCTGGAAAAGGCCCGTGGCTTGGCCTCAACTTTCTTTTCACCTTGATGAAGACTGTGTCTGCATATTCTTTTCAACTTGATCCGGGTCGGCAGGATATATTTAAATTTGTATATTTCACTATTCTAATTTTTTTAAAAGAAAAAACTGAACGCACACTCACACACATCACTTTCTTATCATATATATTTAAATATATCTCATATAGTCATTTTTCTAAATTTTGGACTAATTATAAGAACTTGATACGTTCATGATAATGCAGGTTAACAAATCAACACTTTCGTCGTTGAAATTTAGCTCATTGATATTCTACACTTAGAATTTCTCATGCTATGAGATAAATAGAATGAATGAAAAAATTTAATGAGCACAACTTAAACAAATTAAAAAAGTGAGGTTAAAAGTTTTTAATTAATTTTTATTACTTTTATCTTACATCTATTTTTTATTAAAATTTTAAAACTCCACTTTTCTAATTTATTTAAATTGAGCTCATTAAAAATTTTCACCTCTTTCTTTTATTTCCCTCATACCAAAAATAGGGTTACAATAAATAATACATGGGCCAGTTTTTTACCCTCGAACATACACATACCTGCATATAATTTTTTTTTTTGGCTTGATTGTGATATATATTAGTACTAATAGTTACATCAATTTGGTTAAAGTTACATCAGAAGAAGAGCGTTGAGTAGAAAATTCTTACCCTGGGAGACTGTTACGTGATATAAAGGCTCAAGACACAGAAATATATGAAGGCGTACAATGCCGGACTGCCGTTCATTATGACTTTAATGCAAGACTGTTGCGTGACTTTTTAAGCACTCAGCTTCTTCCTCTTCCTGTTTCTGCAATTATTCTGAGTGTTACTGTAAAGGGTAGAAACTGAATATATGGTGAATTTGCCCTTCATAATAGTAATTCAATTTAATTTTTTATGCTCAAATATGTAAGACTCCAGCCTCCTCTTGATAAAATTACACAACTTATCCAACAGGTAATTAAACTTTTAATCTATTCATTGATTTTTTAAAAAAAAATTATCACTCCTTTTCACCAAAACTAAAATTACAATTTATCTTCTTGGTGCAATGATGTTTTGGATTTGTTATTCACATTCGCTTAAAACGTATTTTTTATGATATTAAAAACATTTTAAACATGAATTTATAATTTTATAATATTGAAAACGAGAATACATCTCATTGTCTTGACATGATATATTTTTATATATTTAAATATACGCATATATAATAATATTTGAAATTTCTGGTCAGGATTGTTTGTTTTTCAATAGCTAAACTTAGTTGAATTATAAAAAGTATGTATATTTTAATTTTCATGCCTTAAAACACTAAAACATGAATTAAATAATGCCCTATACTTTTCCTTAAAAACAAACAAACAAAAAGTACGGGAGGAAGACATGAATTCACACTGCAATTCTGCATTAATTCGTTTTCTTATCAACTATTAATTTTGACAAATTATTGGGTGGAATGGATCTATCAAAATAAATACTACGTACGCAAATCGATTATGTGCGAAATCAAAAGAACTCTTGGCCTGAAAAAGAGAGAGAAGAAAAAGAATGTAAAACAACTTCATAAAAAGAGCGAACATCGCGCCAATTCAACAATCTACTAAAGTTTTCTTCTTCTTTTTTAATACCCTTAAATGAGTCTAGTATACTCATATTATATTAAATACTTTTATGGCTGATGAAGAGTGTAATTTTTCACATTTTTATTTTTTAATTATGCAACTTCTGGTCTTTGAACCTATAATTAAAGTATAGTTAACTATCACAAAGTACCCTTGGTAAAAGATGGGGGGAAACCCTGGTTAAAAAAAAAAAAAACACTATCCCGCAAATACTAAGAAATGTGCTTAAAAAGTAGTTTAACTCCTTATTTTGTTCTGAATTTAATTTATTTTCAAATTATTTCCTTAATTAAGTAGTTTAAAACATAAATCTAATTATCTCTGATTTCTTCCCTAAGCTATCTTATCTAATGAATAGTACTCCTCTAGTTTTAAATGCAAAACTCATTTTATGATATAATTTACACTACAAAATGAATCTAACATTAAGGATCGAATGAGTATATGTTTACTGAAAAATATTAAATTATCCAAATTTCTACAATATAACTTGTCTTTTGAATCATAAGAACTCCCCATAAAAGTAACTCTTACGGAATATAGAAGGGAGTGTATATTAAACTATATTAGTAAACATGGAGATGGATTGACTTTGTCAATATACAAACAATTAAAATCAAACAAACAAAAAAAGAGCTTACTTAGTTATTATCGTAGTTCTTTTGCCATGGACAATGGCACACTGCTTCGTTTTTGGTCCCCCACGTCCACGATCAATCGTGCTGCAGACAAAGCCTATGACCTTTTTCTTCCCCCTCTTTATTTTTTTGGTTTATTTTGAAAAGTGAAAGCTTAATATTTAATTTATCTTCTTTCCATATCTTTTTATTTACGTGAAAACCTTGGTGTTTATTTTACATTTAATTGCACGTTAATAATTAATATTATAACATTAAATTTTAGTGAGCTTAATTCAATATTCTGAAATATTGTATTATTTAGAAATTAAATAAATGTGGCCAATTTTTTTAATTTAATTTTAAGAAAATTTTAATCATCTCAATATAAATTTGGTTTGATAAATTAATGGATTTAAGGGCTGTCATATACAACAAATGACATAAATTAGGAAAATTTAATCAATCAGCTGGCATTTGTAAATTTTGCGTAACCTGAATGTTAACTGACGAGCATGAATGAAATTTTTTTGCTCTAAATCATAGATAATAAAATATATAGTGATAAATACAAGTGGAAAGGAGACCAGGCCAAATCAGACAACTTTATTATAAATAATCAATATTTCATTTGGGAGACTACAATTCGTCTGTAGCCATAATAGCCATGCACGATACACACCGCAAAGCCAGAGGTATTACGAAAAAGATAAAATACTAAACAACAATTGGTGACAAACTGAGAGAAAACATGCTTTTATTTTATGAGTAACAAGATAGGCTAAAAATCATGGGATACTCAGTTTTTGGTTGTAGATGGAGGATAGTGACCATAAGGTGGTGGTTGATAGCTCGGTGGCTTCTCCACAGGGGGCTTATAAACGGGTGGCTTCTCAACAGGTGGCTTGTAAACGGGTGGCTTCTCCACCGGAGGCTTGTAAACGGGTGGCTTCTCCACCGGAGGCTTGTAAACGGGTGGCTTCTCAACAGGTGGCTTGTAAACGGGTGGCTTCTCCACCGGAGGCTTGTAAACAGGTGGCTTCTCGACGGGAGGCTTGTAAACAGGAGGCTTCTCGACGGGTGGTTTGTAAACAGGAGGTTTCTCCACGGGGCTTGTAAACGGGTGGCTTCTCAACCGGAGGCTTGTAAACGGGTGGTTTCTCAACGGGTGGCTTGTAAACGGGTGGTTTCTCAATGGGTGGCTTGTAAACAGGGGGTTTTTCCACGGGAGGCTTGTAAACTGGTGGCTTCTGAATTGGAGGCTTGTAAACTGGTGGCTTGTAAACAGGTGGTTTCTCAACAGGAGGCTTATAGGTAGGGGGCTTTTCTACCGGAGGTTTATAGACAGGGGGCTTCTCAATTGGTGGAGGGTTGTACACAGGAGGCTTTTCCGGTGGCTTATAGGTTGGAGGCTGATAGTAATTCGCGAAGGTTGAAGTGGTGAGAAACACCACTCCAATGAGAAACGCTAGCAAGTGCTTAGACGACATTGTCGAGCTGGGTTTTGTGTTGGATGGTGCAAATGAGGGAGCATGGACTCCAATTTAAAGTAGACGAGGGAGTGGAGTCGGTGGAGAGATGCTGTGGATCCAATTTAATTTAATATTTAAATTTAATTAATAAAATAATAATAATAAATAAGTCAAGGTTGGTAGGTGTGAACTTGATGAATATCCCCATGCATGTAGGTGGAAAATTGGAAATCCTAGTTTTTGCTTCAAGTTTTTTATCTTATCATTAATATGGACAGTAGATTGAGATATATGAAATTGTTTTATATCTAATTTAGTTCATAGTGATGAAAATATTTTAAATAAATTACTCAAATTCAGGCATTTATTACTTACGCCTCTTTATTAATAATATTAATCCTAGTTATATAAGAGAATATAAGAATAATTTGTGCCTGCACCGGCTCGGTTTGTGGCTGATTGCAGGGTTTATGTAATATAGTAGTGCTTACTAGCTGGGATTTGTTTAGTGAAAATGACTTATTTTTTTGTCAAAAGCAACTTGCCCGGCTGCAAACCATATTAAATAACTAAATAAATATACTAAAAGTAATATTGGAAATAATAGTTGAACAGCATCATCGACTCTCTCCATCCGTCACTCTCGAATGCACCACTTGATTTTAACACTTGCCTCTAAAATTGCGTTGCAAGTTGGGATCATTTTGTTTCAAGGGTGGTTCAGATTTTCAAAATCATTTATTGAGTTACTATATATCCGGTACTAAATATAAAAGTTAATTGATTAATTGAGAAGGCTAAAAAAATAAGTTGAGTTAATTATTTATAATAAACAGGTATTATCTTTCTTAAAATATCCGTGCTAATGAAGTATATTAGCTAGAACTATCATTGTTACAACGACTATCTTAAAAAAAACACAAATTTAAGAGATAAAGTAAATCAGAATCTTATTTTTATAATTAAAATAAGATTTTATATTAAAGAGTAGAGGGAGTATTATTGAACAGACTCAGACGACGATGATTCCTCGAATAATCTCAGACACACACATCCACACATCCACACATCCACGCAATCGAAACCACATTCTGATCGTACGTAGAAGGTGAAGACGACGACGTACAGATGGTCAAAAGGTAGCGTTCTAGATCCCTACCGCCCATGCGTTGAAAAAGTCAAGGGATGACAAAAATTAGGGGAAATTACAATCAAATTTCAGAAAAAGAATTTAATTATTCTAAAGCCTGTTGATAATAACTGGTGACAAGTTACAGTATAAAAATGATAATTGGTGTATACCGCTCATTTTTTATTAGGATTTTAAGATAATTGAATTTTTTTAAAGATCTGATTGCAATTTCCCCCAAAATAATAAAAATAGAAGGATTAGATTTTTCTCCTTGTGGGGGCGGATCAGATCTGTACGTGATAGGTGGGGGGATAAGATAGGGTTTGACAAATGAGCACGTCCCCATGACTATTTGACCATTGGGAATAATTGTAGCCCTATTTAATTCCAGCTTGCGTTATCTTTTGAGATAAGCGAGTATTACAAGTTATCAATATTATATATGCTTGAGCAGTGGAAGGAGTGTCGGTGATTTTTCAATTGGTGTTGTTTAATTTTTAACGACTCGTTTTCTCATTATTATATGTTAATCTTTACTGTCTTGTCATGACTCTATTCTTTACCTACTCTATAATATTTGATGCCATGACAAAATACTGCTAAATATCGCACTCTACTTTCCCCCCTTAAAGCATAACTTCCGTTCAATGTTATCATGTTGGACTTTTATACTCTCTCTATGTATATATATAGATAAAATAAAATGTTATTTTTCTGACTAAAAGATAACATGACTCTAAATTGGGATTTTAAAAAAAATACTCTCTCTAATTCAAAATATAAGTTAAAGTATTTTAGAGAAGTTTTATTTTTTTATAAGATAATGTCCATTTTTGTCTAAGCATTTAATGCATTCTTTTAATTTTATCCCCCACATGTTCTCTTTTTTCTTTGAATTATTTATTGCATTTTTTATTTATTTTCTTCATTAATAAGGACATATTTAAAAAATATATGTCTTACATATTTATTATTTTAAACTGGTTTTAACTAATTTTTTAATAAATATAAATGATGAAGTATATATTTAAAATTTAAATAATATTCCTATAAATTGATTTTGTTACCCCATTAGGAAACTAAAATTTGTTGATCCAAAACAAGTGATATACGGAAGCTGTTAACTTCTACCACGTGGCCACGCAGGCGATGAGATTAGAGGTCGCATGTGCTGCCATATGCTTTGGGGGGTTTGGTTTGGACTCGGCGAAAAAAGTGCTTTTCACTTGCAAAATTTTTTATATGTTTATTTCGTATATTATAACTTTTTTTAAAAATGATGGTTTTCTTTTCACTCAAATATTTCCTTTAGAGTAAACTAGCTCAAAACATAATATAACAAGAATGTGTGTGGTTAAAATTTTTGTTAATATCTCGAATGCGAATTTGCATTATTAACGAAATAAATGCCCCAATTTTGCGCTCCTTATATAAATATATGACTCGATTATCTCCTATATCCCATGTTAATTTTTTGTCCCATGATATTCATATTTATTAAGATATTTTTATCTCTGCAAATTAAATTCTGATCACTAAATCGTGGAGGTAATTTTGAAAAGGTGTAATAAATTTTGTAAATAATTAAATCAATTATTTTTTGATTTTATGAATTAGTTAAAAGGATTATATATTTATGATTATTGTTGTCAAACTTCCAAGTTAATTTTAATTCCAAAGAACTCAGTTCGCTAGCGGAAGTTGGGGAACAATATGAATGTAAAATCGAAGTGACTCGCCTCTAGCTCATGCACACTCGCTGAAATCGGGTTCACGCGTGGACTGAAGAGCGAGCTCGCCATTCGGATAAAACAATAAAAAAAAATTATTTAGATAAAAACTAAATTATAATTTTATAAATATTTTTTTGCGAACCAAGCACCTCCTGAATTGAATTCGAATTAATCCCTAATCCTTCGGAAGCAGCCCCGCAACTCCTGACAAATATATAAAGGAATATTTATATGTTAATAATTTTGTAGTCTAATAACATGAATATTTTCTTATAAATAGTCGGTTTCAAATTTGACCAGCTTATAATTAATCCGTTAATGTCTGTCATTCTCGTTAAAAGTAAAATGTTTATACGCACACATCCAAAAGCGAAAGGCGTTCGCCAAAACGTTAAACGATTCAAATAATAAACACAATTCCTGCTATCTGAATTTAATGCAAGATCTTAAAGAAAAGGTTATAGCCAAATATAATTATGATATATGTATTTAATTTAATAAACAAATAAATGCACAGTTCAATATAAAAACAAAAATCTCTATCTCAACTATAGTTGTGTCTATGTATATAATATTAAATTTATATATTAAATACAACCAATTATAAATCATAAATAATTTATTAATAAAGGCTGGTCAAAAGAATAAATTATTACCATAGTGTAATTTAAATTATATTTAGATACTCGTATTTTAATTGCACAGTACACTCTGAACGCCTTCTTACATATTTTAAATATTTTTGCAATTTAAGAACTGGGCTTAAACTGTTGCGATGATTCACATTTGAATTTGATCATTTTGATTTGAGAACCGAGGCTATAAAGTTTTTTTTTTGGGCCAACGAAGTAGTATAAAGTTTTATTACCGCCATGCTTAAAAATTTGTGCCTCCAAGCTCCATAAATTACAAGACGAACAAATTCTGGGCCTTCAAATCAAATCAAGTAACACCAAATACTTTCCTAAATTACGAGTTTGGCACTCTTTATGAATATGAGACGAGCGGGAGTTTCTTCCGCCGCGTGAGAAATTGAAAGAAAATAAAAGAAAAGGTTAAAGCCATACAAGTATGAATACGTGTGGGCGAGTCCATAAATATGGTGAACGAGGGTGAGTTTCTTCTGCTGCCCGAGAATAATATAATATTCCCAAATTAATTAATTGGGCCCTATGAGCATCAGAGGCAGTACAGGGTTAAAGCCATTAGAAGCATCTACTATACCATGGAGTCGCTGGATTGCTTGTTTGACTGTGCCACCTCAAAATTATTAGCTAGGGCATGTGCTGGGTGGCAGCTGAATGTCAATACTTGGTAACGAAAGCCAGAAAGTAATTAGGAGTTGGATCAATTATAAGCAAGGCCTAACAAAAAAAGCAGTGACTTTCAATGCTCAACTAATTTTGGGGCCCATCATGCATCTGTCCTTTTCAGAGTTTTCCCAATCACCTTAATTTCCTCGTCACCATACAAGCTTCGTCTCATCGCGTTTATCTTCTGCACCTAATTTGTCCTTTCATTATCAATTTTTGGCGTTATCTTTTCTCGAACAAATCTGGGTTAGTAAGATCACAAACCAACGGCCCAGCACGCTCTTTCCCGGTGGCCATGTTTTCAAGCTATAATCATTGATCTTTTCTTCATTTTTACTTTTTGTATTAAAAAAAAGGGTAACTAATAGTTTTCTGCCAAATATTTTTTAGCCACGATTTTAACCAGAAGTATGCTGACACTTAAGAGTGATAGGTATCGTGTTTCTCTTAGTTTTAAGAACGAATGTTTCTACTTTCTCTTTCGTTCAGCCATCTCTCACTCTAATGACTTTCCACGTATCTACCTGTTTTCTGACCATGCAAAGGAAATATCAATGGGATCTTGAAGACCATGTAGATATACAGATAATCAGCAGCATATTTGATGAAATTAAACCCAAATTAAAAAAAAATACCACAGCACCGAAAATTTTTCCGATTTTTGTTAGTGTTGAAAAATTAAATAATGGAATCACAATGATGAAGATTCTAGATTTCTAGGTGGATCTCTACTTTCCGACCAAGAACAAAATAAAATGCCAAAAAAAAAAATTGATTACCGGTGCTGACTATTTACTGGATGCCCTCATAAAGCACTTCAATTTTAATCTCAAAATCCCTAGAGCTGATGTTGGTATCTTCTGCAATCATTCTCATGTCGTGTTTTAAATTTTAGATCACACACTGGTAATCTCTTGGTCTGATAATGCGAAAGCTCACTCGTAATATTAACTGATGCTTCTCGGTCACTGCTCGTTCTTCCCTTCTTTTTCAAGACCCCGCGATTGATTGTCCACATGACTTTTGGGTATTCTTTCGGGGAAAATCAACATAATGAGAGTGAATAATTACAACGTGATTTAGGCCCAAAGTTTGAAAGATATTGGGCTTTACCCGGTTAAATGGGCCCAGCCTTTAAATGGGCCTCATCAATGGAGATGGCTTTCCCCGTGCCGGCGCGCGCACGTGACTGTCAAGTCCTGAATTTCCATATTTCACATTTTTATTATCGATTGCAAAATTCTCATAACTTTCCCGGACCTTGCCCTTTTTCAGACGGAGACAAGCCCTGCTCATATGGCCTGCTCTTTACTACTGATCTTAGCAGATTCCATTTTTTAATTCATATATTCATATGATTAAAAAGAGAGACAGAAAATTACAAATATATTATTTATATCTCATCGATCATTGGCTTATTATTTAATTTCTTTTTATTTCTAATTAAATTACGCACACGGTATGGTGCATTTACATTTATAAATATAGAAGATCTATCTCAACTTATTATCCTGCTCACTTGTGGATTAAACTGGCTAAAATCCAACCCAACTTTTATAAGAATGCTAAGAAATTCCTTTGGTACAACTTTCCATTGAAAAAATGTATTATCCAAACCATCATTTATAAAAAGAATTTTTTTGTTACTCCGTTCCTAAATATTGGAAATTCTCTGAAGTGGTTACTTTAATTAATTAGAAGAAATAACCTTTTCTGGCATATGGATATTGCTCTTTATCAACTTAAATTTGTCTCTCCCTACTGATATTAATTTAAACATACATCAAATCCACCAACCATGTTATCATTTTTCATCCAAATGAAAAAATGGCCATGTGTCGTACTCCTTGTATCTCAAGAAAAGAAAAACATGCACTTATTTTATTTTTCCGCTAACGTATCCACCGTTTGAAACGCATGCAACATAGAAATGCCTTTAAACAAGAAACTCAGGAAAACATCTTTATTTAATTTGAAGCGGTCGTTCATATTGTACATACAGTTGTAGGGATAAACATGATATAGTACAACGCAGCAACTACGTACATATAACCTCACCAGACATGAAATTAAAACAAAGCATCACATTCGAAAGCTCTTATTTATAGAAAACAAAATGATGACGGTGTCACGGGGCACGCTTTGACGGAGGGTGCTTAGGATAATGGCCATAGGGCGGCTGTGAGTAAGTCGGAGGCTTTTCAATGGGAGGATGTTGATAGAATGGCGGCTTGTGAATGGGTGGTGGCTCATAAATTGGTGGATTCTTATATGGAGGAGGCTCATAAAATGGTGGCTTCTCAATTGGTGGTTTGTAAGTAGGTGGCGGTTCATAGATAGGTGGTTTTTCAAATGGTGGTTTATTAATGGGTGGTGGCTTTTCATAAGGAGGAGGCTCATGCATGGGTGGATTTTCAATTGGTGGCTTGTAATGACCAGGAGGTGGCTTCTCATGAGGAGGCTTGTGAATGGGCGGAGGCTTCTCATAAGTTGGAGGTTTTTCATGTGGAGGAGGCTCATAAACAGGTGGTTTTTCAATTGGTGGTTTGTGAATAGGTGGAGGCTTCTCATGAGGAGGCTTGTGAAAAGGTGGAGGCTTTTGATGAGGAGGTGGTTCGTAAGTTGGTGGATTCTCATGAGGAGGAGGCTCATAAGTTGGTGGATTCTCATGTGAAGGAGGCTCATGCATTGGTGGCTTGTGATGAACAGGCGGTGGTTTCTCATGAGGAGGCATGTGAATGGGTGGTGGCTTCTCATAAGGAGGAGGCTCATGCATTGGTGGTTTTTCAACTGGTGGTGGCTTGTGATGAACAGGCGGCGGCTTCTCATGAGGAGGCTTGTGATGAGTAGGAGGTGGCTTCTCATGCGGAGGAGGCTCATAAACGGGTGGTTTTTCAGTTGGTGGTTTGCGAACAGGTGGAGGCTTCTCATGAGGAGGTGGTTCGTAAACTGGTGGATTCTCATGTGGAGGAGGCTCGTAAGTTGGTGGTTTTTCAACTGGTGGCGTGTGAACATGAGGTGGTGGCTTCTCTACCGGAGGAGGCTCATAGACGGGCGGCTTCTCAAATGGTGGCTTATGAATTGGCGGTGGCTCCTCAAAAGGAGGATGTCCATAAAATGGAGGCTTCTCGAAGGGAGGATGAGGCTCATAGATTGGTGGCTTTTCAAATGGGGGCCGATAAGTCGGAGGTGGCTCATAGATGGGAGGTGTGTAAACTGGTGGCGGCTTCTCAAAGGGTGGATGCCCGTAAATTGGTGGCTTCCCAAGGGGTGGAGGCTCATAGTAGTAGTTTGCAGAGGCTGAAGTGGTGAGTGACACCACCCCGAGCAGAAGGAGTAACAAGTGCAGGCACGACATTGAGTACAACGTTGGGTTATGCTGCAAACTCCATACAACGTCGGGATCTATTTATAGTGACCATCACGCCACATCTGTCGGCGAGAGGGCTGGCTATCTCACATATTTTATTCTTCACTGACATTGCAAAGCCGAATAAGTCAGTCACATTTGGTGGGATTTGAGATATTTCACGACATTCTGATCTAGTCATGGCCACAATCAGCCAGTGTTAAGATTGCAACTTGGGGTAAAATTAGTGATTTACATGTTTAACAAAACCCGATTTGATTCGATGATTCATGTGTTTTTTTCAAAGCCTATGCAGGAAAGTGCTTTAGGTTCCTACATAGATATCTGTCAATTATTGCTGTGAAACAGGTGGTTTCTTCTTCACTCTTAATTAAACGAGAACAAGAAATCCATATCTTGAAGAAGTAAATATGTGACACTGCAAGAGTTACTTGAAAACTGAGCTGGATCGATCTGTATATGTATAGAGGAGCATAGTCTGATTTTACGTTGGACCCAGATTGAGCAACATCATTAATATAACTGTCAAAATCGTACAAGCAAAGACCAAGTGCGGTGTTTCTTAACAAGATATAGATATACGAAACGCCTTGTGCGTCCAACTGAATGTATTTTAAGTCATATTTTCCCCTGTGGGTATCATATATGCAATGTTCTTTTTTTTTTTCTCCCCAACATATTGATTTTGTGGTACACGATAGGTACATGTATACGTAAACCCTTTTGACAGTTAACGATTGAGACTGTCTGTTTTATATTATTGTCCTTCTTTTTTTTCTTTTTCTTTTTTACCACCGTTGAATTTTATGACTGTCTTTTGGTCCACCCTAGGCTGCTACGTGATTCAATGTAGGGATCTCTAAGGGGGTGTTTTGGATCCCTCAAAAACATTTTTAAAAAAATGTCTTTATACAAATTGAAACAAAACTCTTTTCATGTATTTATTTTGACTTTCATAAAATTATTTCTGAAAAATTGATCTAAAACTAAATCAAAATATCTAGGATATATTTAGGTATTGAGGTTAGGGGTGGAAACAGGCCAGGCCAGGCTAGGTCTTACCCTTAACAGGCCTGGCCTATGGTGAGGCCTGTTGGCCTGAGCCTGGTCTGCGGCCTATAAAATGCCTTTTAATCAATCTGAGCCATGCCTGTTTTTTTAACAAATTTTAAATACATATAAGTCAATTCAAAATTACAATAATTCAACCCAATTTATCTAAAATACAAACAGTAAATATGAAATTATTAAATTAACACAATTTGTAAAACATGTCCCCTGAGGCCCAAAAAAAATCAAATATGAAAAATTATTAGAAAACATAATTTCACTCTAGTGTAAAAATATCACTTTATCCCATCTCTAGTATAAAAATTAGTTGATAACTAGATCTAGTTTAAAATATGAAACATCCTTAATCCCTTTTATATTTTAAATTTATCATTTGTTCAAACTAATTTACTAACAAAATGATATTTGATCCTGTTATTACACATGGTTGTTTAAAAAAAAATGTTACATTTATTATTATTTATTTATTTAAATTAATTAAGTAATTATTATAATAAGAATTAGATTGACCACACATATGTACGATTTAAAACATAATAGGTCAATTATATATATATATATATATATATTAATAAGATATAAAAAGCATGGATCAAATAAATGAATGATACTTTTTTTTTTTAATGCACTTATGTTTTCTTTTTCTGTTCAAATATGTGTCATTATACATACATCAATTCTTTTTATTATAGAGAATGGAAATGAAACGAAGCATGCAATAAGCTCTGGATAACACGTTTATGTTGGTAGAGTTTTCTTAATTAACCAATCAGAATAACAAATTTCCTCTTATCTATTTACAATTCTAACCTAAAAAAAAAAAGATAACAGGCTCAGGCCGCCTGACAGACCTAACAGGCTTACTATCAGGCTTGAGCCTGGCCTGATAAAGTAAACAAGCCTTTTTACAGGCCTGAGCTTGTTCTGATATCTAAATAGGTCAGGTCAGACCAGGCTATTTACAGGCCAGGCCACAGGCCGCCTGGCCTAATTCCACCCCTAATTGAGGTCTTAAATTGAGTATTGGCTTGTGCATGTTTTTGAATTTTGTTTTGAAGGCATTGAACATTTAATGATGATGATGATGATGATATGTTAAGCCGATTGTGTTAGCTGGCCCAAAAAACAAAAATAATACCGTCAACACATAATTATTGCATAAAAATTTTAGGAGACGGCCTAATGTCAGATCGATGTAATCACTTGTTTATTTATTTAGATAAGAAACATTTACAGTAAGGGATCTGAATAATTTAACATTTTGGGTAGAGGTGTACTTTTTTTAAAATGTATTTTTTAATATCCGATACTATCATATTAAATTCGAACATCATATTCATATAGGTCAGAATAAAAATAATTATTCCAAAAACCTTTTTTTGTCATTCGCACAAAATTTTTTTAAAATTATTATTATTATTGTTATTGTTGTTATTATTATTATTATATGTTTCCTTGACCCTTGATACAAGACTTTACAATTGTCTTGTTGCGAAAAATAATGAAAAAGAAAAGCCACGAATCAGATGGTGGTAGCAGTTGGACTTACAGTAGTGACTCTCTCGCAGCGAAACTTCCTAAAGCAGCAAAAAGCCATTGTTCTTTTTCTCAATGAGAAGTTTATTCTTTTGGAAATTTAGTATTAAAATTATGGAAATTTGTTGCGTAACCGCATATAATGCCGCGTGTTTAATTTAATTTGTTTATTAATTATCATAAGCGATGAGGCCCCTAATCACGCTAATTACGGGAACCCTCATCTTTTGCTCTGCGTGGGTCTTATCATCAATATATAGTACACAATAATACAAAAGCATGACATAAGGGGTCCCTCCATGTATCTCTTTCCTTTTTTTTTTCCTCACTTTCTTGCGATGATTAAACTTCCTGTGGTTGAAAATTAAAACAGAGACTAACAGCTGGACTGATCTTAATTGATTTCTTAAACAGAGTTGGTGATATTGATAGAGACCTTAACACAAATAGATCTTGCTTTAAGTCTAATAATAATGCGATGGCAATTAGTCAGTGCTTTCATCAATACCATTTTTCGCAAACCTTAATCATATCCACACCCTGCTGGCTCCGTCTCTTCAGACTGTAAGTTATGCGATTACATTGAAAGATTCGGGCTCTTTTAGTAATTTCTTACTTTATTACGAAATTCACCTAACACTAACAAATGGGAATATTTTAGACAACTACCTCTTCAGTCTTTTTCGTCAAACACATCATTCTTGACAGGCACTGCTACCTAACTTTCTTTCCCTAATCATGGGGTTTGAGAGCCGCACACATATAGCTCGCACACATTCAATAATATTTATATGGATGCATGCATATTCAACGACTGAGATCTATTTTCAGTAAGGGATATAACTAGTTGTTATTGATTAATTATCAAAGTATCATATAAAAAATATTTATTGAAAAATAATTATAACTGAGACTTCCAAGATATTTCTAATTTAGCTTTCCACAATTTTCAATTTAGCCTTAAAAAAATTTCTTCTTTATTGGTTTTCTATTTTAAAATGTCGATAAAAGGCCAAGACCTTTAATTGATATTTTGCGTGTTTGACAAGACAAATTCCTTGGTTAAAGGTCTATTTGGTTATGAAAACCCTCCTCTTTACTCATTTGGTTAAAAAGGGGGAAATGGGAGGTAAAGTTTTAATAAACCTTCTAAAACTATGGGAAATTTGGAAGGGGAATATCCAATGCTTGATAATAAAAATCAGTTTTCATATAATTTAGTGATAAGGCTTTATTTTTAAATATTATAATAAAACTATTTAAATTGATATTATAACATGCGGTAAAATTTATCAAGTAATTCAAAAAAAAATACAGCAGTAAAAATTTTGAATAATAATAAAGAAGATCCAAGATTCAAACAATTATGATAAAACAAGCAAATGACATTAATTTGCTTGGAAAGTGAGATAAAAGCTTGTTGACATTTTTCAAACAAGAGAAAACGTTGAATTTTGTCTCAAGTTGAACAAGGGAAAAAATAAAATGCACTCTAATTTCCTTTTCATTATAAGCTAAGCTCTCTCGTTTCTTGCCGTCCTCTTTCTGATGATGCTCCTTTGAACCTAACAATGCGTGAGGAAAAACTCCGGGCAAGAAGCAAACCATGGTAAGCCAAAACTGAGGATCAAATCTAGGGATGGCTACCCGATAAGTAAATCATGAGAAAGTTAAAAAGTTATAATAATGGGTTAAAAAAAGAATTACAAATAAATGCCCCACTAAGTTTTGCAAATCAAATAGGGTCGCACAAATCAATTTAAAACCTCCGTGTGAAATTCTAATTTGTTTAGACCTACTAACCCCATACTATATATATTTCCTTTCGTTTCACTTCATTTTCATTAACCATTATTTATTTTTCATGGCGCCCCATGTTTCTTTTTTCGGCACATCGAATATTCTCCCGCTTAAATCGTTCTGGTAACAGAATATAGCCTCTCTTCTTCTTCTTTTTTCCTTGCCAGAAAAAGAATATAGCCTTCTTGATACAGATAGTTAACTACTATCTCTTTCCGTCCTAATTATAAGACATTCTTATAAATAAAATTTTATAATTAGGTGTATCCTTAGTTTAAAAAATCATAAGACTGGCGCTCTTTTAGGCCCATATATGGGCCGATTTATCGGACCACTTTTATTGAATGCGGTATTAAGGGCCCGGCTTATTGAATTGCCTTTTTTTTTGGGTGTTTGCTGTGTGGTTCCTAAAAAAGAATAGCGGGAGTATTGGTGGCTTATGATAATATTTATTTATATGTAAGTTAATTTTGTTCATATATATTTTTATTTTTAATATTATAATAATATTTTATACTCCTCCGATCCTTAATATAAGACCCATTCAACCATTTGATTAGATTAAGGATGTTAGGTAAGTTAGTTAATTATAAGAAATGTGACATATTTTTCCTAAAACACCATAATCATCTTTCTTAATACCACCTCTCCCTCTTCTACTTGATTATGGTGAGAGAGTATTCATAGGGGTAATTTAGAGAAACTTGATAAATATAATAAATGGATCTTATATTTAGGACCAAAACCAACTCAACAATTAGATCATATATTAAAGACCGGAGGAGTAATATATTATGGCATTAACCAAATGGCAGAGATATTAACTGCAGGGAAGTAGAGACTAGAGCGTTAGACATTCCTCTTTCTCTTACAAATCAGTTCATGGTGTGTTTGGTATGAGAAAAATAGAGGAAAAATGAGGGAAATTTTTTTAATTAACTCGATTTAAAAAAATGGAGAAGTTGAGTTAAAAATTTTTAATTAATTTTTATTACTCTTTTATTTTACATATTTTATTATTAAAATTTTAAAATCTTACTTCTCCAATTTTTTAAATTAAACTCATTAAAAAAATTTCTCTTTCTATATGCTTCCATTTTCCTCATGCGGCGGCACGGTGTATTTCCTTCTGTTTTACTTGCTTTTTTTAAAATAAAAAAAAATTGAACAAAGGGGGACAAATCCCAACTAGATCATCACTCGACGATAGCTACCCAGACCCAACAAATCTTCCTGTAAATTATGTAGTAACCCAGCAGTGGTGTGTTCCAAATCCTCTTTTTCATTTGTTGTTTCTCACTCATCTCAGTGTTTTGCTTCCTTTTTTATTACCCATTATTTATATCTCATAGCGTTCCATGTTTCTTGTTTGGGCGCATGGCGTTTGGTAAAACGATTCGGCCTTGCCAATTCGGTTCAGTTATGTCGATGTATGAAGAGTAGCGCCTTTAATGGTCAAATGAAACTAGCTCGTTACTTGACCAAAAAGAGGCCAACAAAAGGTTCTTGATTATATGGAATAGATGGGCCAAATTATTGGGCCGTTTTTACTGAATACAGTACTAATTAAATGGCCTGTCTTATGTACTGACAAAGGAGTTTGCTCGTTTTTGGTACTCCTGTAGCTGGGAAGTTAAAATCATTACTCTTATGCATGCAATGAGATACGACTACAGTACTTAGCCAAAAGGGAAAGTTTGTGATTTGATTTTTTTTTTTGAGCCAGAAGTATGAAACAGATATATAAGGCAGAGAAGCAAGACAAATATGAAAGTAATAAAATAGAGCACCACTGAATATAATACATAACAAGCGCCGATAACAAGTGCCTTTCCAATCACATGGACTACAAAACCACAGCGAATCACAGTAGAGAGTAACATACATATAACTAGAAATTGTAAGCAAAGCATGATAAACACAACATGCCATTATTCTAGTCTTAAAATATTACATGGTACTAATCTTCTATATGCTCAGTTCATTGGAGGTTTATGGGGAGGCCTACGAGGCAATTCGGGCTTCATTTTTCTTGGCAACTTTTTAGCATTTTCCCAAGTAGGAGGGTGCTTGTGATGAGGATCCTGTGGCGGCTTCTCTCTCTCAATTTTTGGTTTTGGCTCGGGGAATGGCCTCTCCTCTTCTAAACGGTGTCCAGGGTGATTAGAGTTGTGTGGTGGCTCATTCTCTGGAGGTGGTTTCTCGCCCTTTGGTTTTGGCTCGAGGAATGGCCTCTCCTCTTCTAAACGGTGTCCGGGGTGATCAGGGTCGTGTGGTGGCTCATTCTCTGGAGGTGGTTTCTCATCCTTTGGTTTTGGCTCGGGGAATGGCCTCTCCTCTTCTAAACGGTGTCCAGGGTGATCAGGGTCGTGTGGTGGCTCATTCTCTGGAGGTGGTTTCTCGCCTTTTGGTTTCGGTTTGGGGAATGGCCTCTCCTCTTCTAAACGGTGTCCGGGGTGATCAGGGTTGTGTGGTGGCTCATTCTCTGGAGGTGGTTTCTCGCCTTTTGGTTTTGGTTCAGGAAATGGCCTCTCCTCTTCTAAACGGTGTCCGGGGTGATCAGGGTCGTGTGGTGGCTCATTCTCTAGAGGTGGTTTCTCATCCTTTGGTTTTGGCTCGGGGAATGGCCTCTCCTCTTCTAAACGGTGTCCGGGTGATCAGGGTCGTGTGGTGGCTCATTCTCTGGAGGTGGTTTCTCATCCTTTGGTTTTGGCTCGGGGAATGGCCTCTCCTCTTCTAAACGGTGTCCAGGGTGATCAGGGTCATGTGGTGGCTCATTCTCTGGAGGTGGTTTCTCGCCTTTTGGTTTTGGTTTGGGGAATGGCCTTTCCTCAGATAAACGGTGTCCAGGATGATCAGGGTTATGTGGGGGCTCATTCTCTGGAGGTGGTTTCTTACCTTTTGGTTTTGGTTCGGGAAATGGCCTTTCTTCTTCTAAACGATGTCCAAGGTGATCAAGGTCATGCGGTGGTTCATTCTTTGGAGGGGGTTTATCACCTTTGGGTTTTGGTTCGGGCATTGGCCTATCTTCCGGAAGTGGCTTCTCTCCTTTTGGAGGTTCATCTATTGGTTTAGGTGGTTTGTCACCTGGAAATGGCTTTCCCTGTGGAGGTTCACCAACAGGCTTAGGTGGTTTGTGTTGAGGGAAAGGCTCATGATGGAAATCCGCAGTGAGTGGACTGATGAGAAGCACCAGTCCTAAGAAGAACACAAGCAGAATACTAGAAGCCATATTATGGTGATGAAAGCTAGATGGGTCGAGTGTGAGGAGTAGAAGATGCGAGTGCTCCTTTTATAGTATAAGATCCTGGGATGCAACGTCACTCATCATGTCACCAGACACCGACTGTCAACGGTTTCACACTCGATGGGTCTTCTATGATTTCCTCTCCAGTTGAAAACGTTGACGCAACGTGCTCGCATGATAACTCAATTTTTGTTGAATTGTATGTCTTTCAAATATTTGTGGGCCCGCCAGCTTGTTCACTTCAAATCCATCTGCTTTACTCCAAAGGCTGGTCTTACTGTCCTCCCAACGTCTCTCACAAACAAAAGTCATTAATTTTCCATTGAAGCTCCAAACTGATTCCGTTTCTAGTTGAGTGAAAAATATTGACAATTGTTACCCCATTCCATCTGTCGTTCTGAATATAGATGATATATAAGTTTGAAAATTTTCTTAATATCCATACATTATTATGAATTTATTCTAATTTACAGATCGTTAATGTTGTGGAAAAATATTCATGGGATCTGAATAGAAAGGAGACACATGGAGAGCCCGGTTTATGGAGACATTATTAATGCTGTAATAATCAATGTGAGGGGGACAGATTAGGGGCAGTAGTGAAGAAGAAGGAGGATGTTCACACTTCAAACGTTGGCTTTCTCCATTTCCCACGTAGGGCGGTGACTTTTTTTCCCCGCGCTTTCAGTAAAGCTTCGTGTGGTCCTCGCTCCTATCCCTTTCGCTATACACGCTATACACGCATACACACGTGTGTGTCTTCCTCTGATTCTTAATGTATGATATAATTATTGAGTTGATTTTAGTTCTAAATGTAAGACTCAGTTTTCATATTTATTAATTTTTTTCTAAATTACTTTTATTGATGTTCTTTCAATCATAATCAAATAGAAGAGGGAGATAAGGTATTAAAGAAGATGATTATGGTGTTTTAGGAAAAATATGTCATGTTTCTTACAACTAACTAACTTACCTAATTTTTTTTAATCTAATCAAATAAGTTAAATAAATCTCACATTAGGAATGGAGAATTATACACACACTTCTCTAGCCTTATTTTTATACAAGAGTATGATCATCACAACCTTTACTCTCAGGTCCTCAAACACTTGTAATTTAACGCTATATTTCATTTACTTAATTGTTTTTAAAATTGCATCCATATATCAGCTCACATTTTAAATTGGGTGTTTTCGTATTAACTTCGGTCATTAACCATATGAATACGATGTGCCATTAGTTGACTTAAATTGAAGCGTCCTGCCTGTGGTGAGCATTGTTCCAGGAATAACAAGAAGCATACTATGTTTGGTAGATATCATATGACGACATTTGAAGATCTGCTCAACCACCAGTCCAAAGCGCAGCTCGGCATATTCATTTTTCCGTCTCCTTGCTGACTTCTTTTTGTCGGGCACTTTTGGATGGCTCAATCCAACAAGTAATATCCCTTTTGCTAAAGAAAATTAGGGGGTGTTTAGATGAAACCAAACCATGATTTGGAGAATAGCTTCTGAAGGATAAGTTTTGGGGAGAATAGATTTTGTGATGAATAAATTTTGTGAAAAATTGATTCTGAGAAGTAGAAGTATTTGGATAGTTATTACTAAAAACACTTTTTACATGTGCAAATTGCTAAAAAAGACATAAGTTAATATGATAATTATATGAGGGATAAATTTTATAATATATTTTGATTTAAAGAAATAAAATTGTTAATAAACTAAATTGAAAGTAAACTTGATAGACAAAAAAATTGTATTAATCAAATGAGAATTCATATTTATATTTTTTTGGGTATAATTCATATTTATTTCATTAAGTATACTTTTTAAAATTGTTTTTGGGTGCAATTCATATTTATTTCTACTTTCTAATTCTAATTATAATCCGCTCTAGTTCTAGCCCAAAAGTTTAAAAAAAAAAAAACCCCTCTAGTTCTCTGGATATGTTATAACTCAGTGCAAACTCCAATTGTGGCCAACTGTTTCATTCTCTGTGCATTACTGTGAAATGGATCAGGGCACTTTTGTTGCTTGAAACCAGAAAGCCAAACCCAAGTCTAAGCTGCATTCCACCGTCGTCATGCATGATGACGATGACGATGATGGCAACCTGACTGGGCAAACTGAACGGCAGAGATTGGAAACCGAGGATGGATGGATTGAACAACCCAACGCTTGATCTGGTTTTGGCGAGCCAAGAAACACACAACCAGCCCTTGTTTTCACTAGCCCAAGACGATCTCACCGGTGTAGAATTTCATAGCAGCGACGGCGAAGGAAGGGCAAAGAGGCAAGCTGAAAGTGTCGACCAGTGATTATATTCACTCCAGTGAAAGTGTCGGTTGGCGAAGGAAGAAACGATGCTTTTGGTCAATTAGACCGTTGCCTCATCTGACACTCCCAATTCACCCCCAGAAGCGACTCTTTTCTGCTTCTAAGCAAACCATGGTTTTACCTGAAACCATGGTTTCAAAATATTTGAGGCTATTTGGATGGCATTTTATCCAAATCATGGTTTTGCCTTCCAAACCATGGTTTTGGATATCATCCAAACAGGCCCTTAATCTTAAATGTAGTCCATCCTCAAGACTTTATTTTCGCACCAAATATAAGATATTAACAAGTACTCAATTCTAATATAAATCATTTTAACTACTTTATTATAATTAATAAATGATAATTGATTCATTAAATCCGTCTCAAATTAATTTTTTTCAATATATATCATATTTGTTATGATTAATTAATTTATACAACTCTTTTAATATATCTAAATTAGTTAACCAGCTCTTTTAATGAAGATTAAATGGAGCGAACAACTTATTTAGTTAATTCGTAACATATGTAAATTAGTTATCTAATTTTTAGATTCAGAACTGAATCTAAAAATTTTAAAAGTTTTCTCAATGAGGATCTTGATATTTCGTTTGGGTTCTTTTTAATATATTTAATTTGATTGTTTGTACTTAATTTTTTAATATGTTTAATTTGTTCGTTTGGAGTCGGTGCGTGACGTCTTTTTGTTATGTTTCTGCCGTTGGGCTTATGACTTGGTTGCCGTATGCTCTTTTTAACGTTACGATGTGAATGATGCTGATCTGTTAGTGTACGCGCGTTATTACTTTGGACTAAAATACAAATCTACTTTCCAACCAAAAAAAAAAAAACAAATCTGCTCATGAAATATTTCATCATGGAAGTCTAATATCATAAATTGTTTTAAATGTAAAAATATGCATACAGTTTTTAAAATGATATAAAAATTATGACCATTAAGTCAACTAATATTAACTGTTTAACAAATATATAAGTAAAAAAAAAGTACAAAAATATGCATAAAATTTTCAAATAGATACAAAAATGCTGCAATCACTGAAAACTACATGTGTATTTTTGCACCATTTCAAAAAATTTATATGTATTTTTGTACTATTTTTTTAGTTGATATTTTTGTTAAACGGTTAACGTTAATGTCCCTAGTATTTTTGTACTGTTTTAAAAAAATTTAAAAAATGATTAAAAAAAGACCACTGAAATAGAAAAATTACAAATAAAGACACATGACAACAATAGTATGGGTTTTGATAATAATTTTTACAAACTGGTCCTTGTGTGCAATTTTTTTATATTTCAGTGGTCTTTTTTTTTGTTGCTATTTTTTCAAAATTTTATGTATATTTTTACACATAAACAAAATTTATAGTGGTTGGTGCCTCTGGCAGAATATTTTATTGGTAGATTTGTAGTTTAGCCTAATTTCCTTAGACTTATTCAGAGGGACGCGGTTAGAGTGAGTGTCCTATTTTCAGTCAACAAAACAAAAAAGAGAGTAAGTGTCCTATTTATTGAAAGTTCATTAGGTTTTTAAGTTTTTGTATAGATAAAAGGAAATGTGATTATTCACAATACCTTCTTCTCTTGTAAATTAGGTACCACGGTACTCAAATTTTTTTTAAGTGGTTTTTCTGCTCTTTCTTCTTACATCTTTTTCCTATTAAAATTTGATAATCTCATTTATTTATTAAAATTGAACTCATTAACATGTTCTCCTACATTTCGTTCCCCCTCAAATCAAATAAATAATTGATAAAATCTAGTCATTGTTGAGAGAGCTGCGCACTAAATTTGGAGCATTAATTTGCCGCAGAAGAAATCTGTGCAAAGAACTTTGAATGCGATGAAACCATACCTTCACATTTATCTTGCTTCTTGCTGATCCCCTGGTTTTGAAAGTGTTGTAGACAGATAAAAAGTGACTTTTCCCATTGAATTTCATATAAGATTTTATTTTTGACTTGTTAATTTTATAAAGTAATTGTTTGATTATCCAGCTCTCATCCTATTAGTTTAAGCGGGCATATTGAGTTTAATTCTTTAAAATAAAAGTTATTAGCATAAAAAAAATCATCATTTGAGAACAATAATATTAAGAAAACTTAAGTACCATGTCCAAAACATTTGTCATCAAATCTTCATCAAAATAAACCTTCACGCAATATTTTATTTTTTTCAAAAAAGGTTATGTTAAAATTCGGATGACGATCTTGTAAGCTGTAACAGGCAAAAAATAAAATTTACGTAAAATTTTTTTAGGAATATAAATTTGAAGATGGTGACGCATCAAAATTTTATCTGATTTATGAAAGGATTTTAAAATAAAAAACAAATTAGCAACGGGGGCTGGCATTACAAATGGACCCTCCCCAAATGTTATTTTCTGTACGGAATGCAGTCAACATCTCAGCGGTCCAGAAACTTGGTGCTTGGGCCCTGGCGTCTGGCGACACCGCCACTTTGTTTTTTTTTTTTTGAGTGGCTTTTCTATCGTACAAGTTCCATGTCACTCCTCATCAAATCCATTACCATCAACGCATCCCGCATGCGTGATTGGCTAAAGTAAAACTCCTTTCCCCCCAAGCAACGGGAGCTAGGTCTAACAGGAAGGGTTAATCTTTTACAACGTGGTGAATTAAGATTTGAATTCTTACTGGGAGAAGTGCTTATATTTAATGCCCGACAATACCTCGAATAGGATTGTCTCCAATATGAAGATACCAATGCTTTAACAAAAAAAAACCTACTTCCCCTGCATTTTTTTAATTAAAAAAAATTAAAGAAAGTTTCCTTATAATTACACCCTGATTTTATTTTTCTCATACATCTAGCATACTATTTTTTTCAGTGGTGTAATTTTTTTTTTCAGTTTTTGATGTGATTTTTATGTAAAAGTTGTCAATAATTTAATTAGAAGAACTAAAATTACTAATTTCAATTGTTAATATGAATAAGAAAATGGAACAATTTTAAATAAATAGAGAAAAAGTGGGATTGCATCAAATTTTAAAGAGAGTTTAGATGCATTCAACAGCTCGAATTATTTACTTAGATGCATTTAATACTTTGAAATATTTTGTGTTGCATCTAACATTCTGAAATATTTTTTTGTTTTGGTACTTGATGTATCAGAAAATATTTTTTGATTCTAAACGTGTATTTAAACAATATTTTAGAGTGCTGGATGTACCACAAAATACTTTAAAGTGCTAGATATATCACAAAATATTTTAGAGTGTTGGACGTACCTGAAAAAATATTTCAGGATACTGAACACACCACAAAATATTTTAGATATAATGAGCTTATGGTGCTCATCAATACATTGTTTTTACCCGATAATTTATATCCTCTTTAACCAGCCATATCTTCTTTTGGCCAGCCGTCTCTATATGCATATCTAGAATCTTAATTTAGAAGAAATATTATTTATTATAATAAAATGATACGTCATCCAATAATATGTTTCTTACCTTTTCTTTTGCCAACAACAATATTTTCCTGCCATCTATGATCCAAGACACTTTACAAAATTTAATCAAATGTTTATCTTTACGCTTATTTAATAGAACGTGCCCGTGCTACAGATAATGAGATCATGCTTAATCCAGGACTCGTCTAATTTGATTTGAGACATCTAAATCCCAACGGACCTATTTTCCCCTCGCTAGCCCATCAAGGACGAATCTCACAGATTCAGATTTTAGACATAAATTAAACACACACAACCTGAGGGCGTATACTTAATGCGGGGCCCCGGCGGCCCATTTCTGTAATGGATATTTTTTTAGACAAAGGATAGTCGGCAAAGGATGAGTATTAGATCTTTATTAAGCTGTGACCTGAGAACTTCAATAAATTATAATTATAATCGTCAATCGTCACAGTGTCCCTTTCTCCCCTCAACCCCACCGCAAGAGAAAAGAGTCAAAAACGCGACAAAGTCCTCATCTTTAATTTGTCCAGCATTTATCTGCAAAGTCCTCATCTTTAATTTGTCCAGCATTTATCTGCGCTTTTGTTGGAATTATACAAAAGTATACGTACGCGCGACTGTGAGTTCGGAGTATGAGTGTGTGTGTGTGTGTATCCAAGTACTTGCAATTTGTACGTATTGGCTACCATATACATGATCTAGTTAATATAGACATATATATATGTAGCATACATGTTACTTTTCCGGCCAGGGCTAGGAGATACACACACATATATATGTGAAGCGAAGTTTTCCTTTGTTTTAGTAAATGCGTTACAGTCAATCCATATCGTTATATTGGGGCCGAACCAGATAATTAACACAAATAATTTGTAATCATGCAGTGGCTGCGTTTACATGTTCAATTACCACCACCCGGCGGCCGGACGTCAGAACTCGGGTGATCAAGATGTGTTCACTAATTATTTATTAGATTAATTATGTTTATAATTACCATCATGCATGATCTGTCCATCAGATTTAAAGTAAAGCCCTTATCCCGCGAACACGCACACGTACACACATATAGTGAGAGAACACACGCATGAGTTACCTAGAGGGACTTGAATCCTTCTACTCACAAACACAAACACATATTTTACTTTAACAAGAGCAGAACCAAACGTGAATTCCCATCACCGAGCTATATATTACAAAACAGCATGAACAAGTCTTACGCAGGCGCATGCGCACAAAGCAAGTAGCTAAAAGCATGCAAGCACGCACATATAGCAAACAGTACGTACTTGATAATTACATGAAAAGGACATTAGACATGAGCCAAGAGTACTCTTATTTCTGCACATATATGTGCTTCATGCATATAGAGTTTGTGGTGATCATAACCTAATTGGCAGTGGGTGGCCTGTATTTCGGCGGTGGCTTGCGCATCGGTGGGCCATGCCCTCGCATCGGTGGCTTGTGATATCCCTGAGGAAGGCCGTCCACCTGAGTTTCAGCCTCATTCTCTACCGTGCTTGGTGGTTTATGCTTCGGTGGCCCACGCATCGGCGGCTTGTGATATCCCTGAGGAAGGCCGTCCACCTGAGTTTCAGCCTCATTCTCTACCGTGCTTGGTGGTTTATGCTTCGGTGGCCCACGCATCGGCGGCTTGTGATATCCCTGAGGAAGGCCGTCCACCTGAGTTTCAGCCTCATTCTCTACCGTGCTTGGTGGTTTATGCTTCGGTGGCCCACGCATCGGCGGCTTGTGATATCCCTGAGGAAGGCCGTCCACCTGAGTTTCAGCCTCATTCTCTACCGTGCTTGGTGGTTTATGCTTCGGTGGACCACGCATCGGCGGCTTGTGATATCCCTGAGGAAGGCCGTCCACCTGAGTTTCAGCCTCAGTATCTACCGTGCTCGGAGGCTTGTATGGAGAAGGCGGCTTGTGTGGCGGCGGCTTTGGCTTGTATGGAGAGCGTGGCGGCTTATAAGCGTCAGGCTGGACATCGGCGATAGAGATTGGAGTGACAAACACAATGGCAACGAAGAACGCAAGTAACAAGTTGAGGAGCATCTTGTTTAGATGTCGATCCATTTTGGTGATGCTGCACAAAACTCGGTGGGGAGTGGCGGCCTTTTATAATGGTCACAAACCCTATTTCGCTGTTACACATGTCATCAACCACTGTTTACTAATTCGTCTTCTTTTGATTATATCAATAAACGCGAGGGAGACTAGGTTTGTTCATGAGTCAAGCATGCTGGGGCCCTTGTCTGGAGCCATTTAGCTCAATTATTTGACTGTTTGCCTCAACCCGGTTGGCACTGGCACCTTTGGTTAGGTGAGGAAAATGTTATAATGGATTTCTCAGTCACATATTTAATTAGTGCGATGTGATGCTGGTTTTAATTACATATAAACACGCAGCCTCATTCATTTATTCTCCAGATCGCTTAATACACATGGTCATTCACTAACATTATTATTTATTTATTTTAACACATCAAAACACTCAATAATTGAAGTGTTTGAAGAATTAAAAATGTCGTTACTATGGAGTATCATTGAATAAAATGCTGGAGATATGCATGGCACATGAATCCTAAATGCACGTCGTGTGTGTGTGTGTGAGAGAGAGAGATAAGCTATAACCATGTTACTATTATTTAATTTCCTGTTTAAATATTTTCTTGTATCATATAGATACTTTGTATCAGGGTCTTCTGGTTTTTTAGATCGACGATTTATTAAATTTTCGTTTTTGCATCAATTTTTTTTTTAAAAGTAATATAGAAACAAAGTTTAGATTTCATTACCATCACAAATTAACACAAATTTAGGCAGCAACAATCACAAAATTGAACTTGCAAACAGAAAGCAAATGATTTTTCAATTTGATTTTATCTAGAGTGCGATTTTTTTACATTAGCTTCAAGAATTTGTTGGAGAGAAAATGGGTGAGGCGGCTAGTGGAAGTAGATCAAAAGATCTTCAACAGATCATTGATTGGGACAAGAGGTATCAGACAACACGAAGGATAATTTAGAAAATTGATACTGCGCTCAATTTTTAATATAAGACATAGTTGTTTGAGAAGATTAAAGAAATTAGTTAAGTTAGTTATTTGTAGCAAATAGATGTTGTCTTTCCTAGAATACTCTTAATAATCATGTGTGTTTGAATTCTCTATTGACAGTAACTCCTTAATATATACAACTACTATAAAAATTATTTAAGGGTAAAATAAATAAATATTAGAGATAAGGTAGATTGAAGTTTTATATTTAGGATTGAATTAAAAGTCAAACTAACTCTTATATTAGGAACCAGCGGTAAAAACATATAAGGAAATTGGTGAATCAAGAAAATTAATTGAAATTTTATATGCATAGGAGAAAATACTGTAAAAAACGCCAAAAATATGAGCGGAAGGAATATTAAGGAGATTGGAGACGATGACAGCTGAAGCTCGCATGCTAGATAATAAATATGAATGAATTATGTGCTCCGAAAATTTTCGTTGTTTAAAACAGACTGTAAATATCGTCAAAATTAAAGTCTAGTTTAATTTTATAAATATTCTTAGCTTATTTTTCATGTATTTTTTTCCATCCGTAAAAAATCATTTTTGTAAGTGCAATGCGATGTATTTTGGATGGAATATTATGATAGCTCCATAACAATATATATACAAATGGTAATTGCGCTCCTTCTTTTTGAAGGGGAAAAAAAGCTTAATTAAGCCAATTGAATTCACATATACTCCTTTAATCCTATTTATAAGATAAAGAGAGAAGATATTTTTTTTAATTCTATTTATAAGCCATTGAGAAAAGTTTTTTATATGGATATACTATTTTACTTTTTATTTATTATTATGTTGAGATTGTTTACATAAGGTATAATATATATTAAATAGTAATAAAGTTGAAAATTTGTTAAATTTTAAATGAAAGTTAATGAAATTTAAAGTTCTCATTGGTTTATGTGAAACATATTAGAATTGATTTATAAATAAGACCAGAAGAATAGTATTTAGTAAGCACACAATGTATAATTAAAGAGAGAAATTGAAAAAAAAAAACTAAATAATACTATTTCCGGTCCTAATTATAAAATCATGTTTATAATCTATAAATGAGGTCTTATAATTAAGATAGGAGGTAATATTAGAGTTCCAAGATTACCAAAATATGATGTAATGATGAGTGAGCAAGGTGGTTTTTACCTCTTCCAAGTGCTATTAATTTTTGTTGCTAATCATGGATAATATCTCCTGCCTTCATTTTGAGATTTCCAAATTAGGTCCAACCGCATTTATAAAGTTTCAACGAAATCAGAAGACTAATTAATTGCTCTACGAAATTTGTATAAAACTAAATCACAAATTCAATCGTCTTCTTTGTATGATGAGCTGAGGGTCAAAAAGGTACGATGAAGAACTTCAAGCGCGAGGAGAAATTGACAGACCAGCCTGTATTATGCGTCTATTTTTTGTACATCTTGAACTATTACAATGAATAGTCTAAAATCATTACTTTCGTTTGTTTTCCTGAGGAATCAACGGTTGCTGAATTGCGCGGACAAGAGAAACGAATGAAAATTTAAAGCCAGAACCAAAAAAAAAAAAAAAAAGCTTAATAATCCATTTTTATTATCTCTGTGTTATACTATGGTAGTATATGGGTGGTTAGAAACCATGTATGGTTGGCCTATCCGATACGTGTGACTTAAAATGTATACAGTGAAAAGATTGATAATTCTAATTCGTCCGAACCATGGAGCTTCGAAACACTTATGTTCAGATGATAATAAGATATTTTAATGTAAGGACGTTTGCCAATGGAAGTTCATGGAACTGTTGCTGGGGTGTGTGTGTGTCTGTGTGTGTGTTTGGTGTGTTAAACTTCTTTCTGATACTCTATTTCGCTGTTGCTTTTTTTTTTTTTTTTGGGGAGAACGATAGGCAATAACTTCAAAATTTTGTTAAAAATTGAAGTGTGAATATCAATGCAGATATGTGCCATGTGAGGGCGTGGATTTGTTTGGTGGCGGGGCCCTGGTCGCGAATTGGTGGACACTTTCTAGAATCACACTCCCATTATTTCTGCTTTTCATCCTCTCCTTTATTTACTGCGTTTTCCACTATGTCACCAAACTTTGACGATGCCATCCACATTCCAAAGCAATAAGTAATTTTATGCCAAACTCCTAACCCATCCTCCTCTAATCAAGAGGCAGCTCAGCCTGCCAGTCAAATTGATGTTAAGTGACTAATTATGCTCTCAAGTTTACTCTCTGTTCTTGGCATGTAGCTTTCCATTATATACTGACTATTTGCTGATTTGTAAATTTATTTTAAAATATTAACTGCACAGAAATGTTTATTGTCAATTTGTCGGGTAAAGTTCTTGTACACAATGAGGAGCTTGAAGGAGGGGGCCTATGGGCATTCAAACTCTTCTTTGGGTTCCATACTGTTAATCCCATGTCTGACCACCAAATCACACAATTTCATCCCAAAACACAGCATTAAGCAGTAATTATAAATTACGCTATTTGGTGGCCGAGCATTAAGGAGCCTCCCAGTGTTCTGCTTAGCTCAGAAACGTTGTTTTCATGTTTGCCAAATATTATGAATTAAGAACTTTAATTTAATTTATTTTTAACATGGGCCGGAATATGTGATTTGAAAAGATTAATAAGGGACCAGCAGAGTGGTTCGCCTCCTGGATAAAATCGGCCGACATTGACAGAGTGGGCCGACAAAATTTTGTTATTGGACATTTGAACGAGTAGTCTTGTTTGGTGAGTATGAATTTTTCTCCCTAAGGAAAATAAGAGATTGAAAAGGTTAGTGCTGGAAAGTAAATTGGAGTTTATTTTTCAAAACACCTAAATCAAAATATATTTTTATTTAAAAATTTACATTCTTATGGCTCGAAATTAAAATGTGCCTCATGATACCGTTTTTGGGATGAGAAAATGAACCACGATAGTGCGCAATCTTTTATTTTGATTACGACGTGAAATTTTAAACCTTTATGACACCGTCACATGCTCACATGTCGACCAAAAGAAAATCCGAAGGAAAATTTTATTTTTGTTTTGTCGTACAATCCAACCCCCACCTAATTTTTCAAAGGACGGGAGCTCCTATTATTTTCGCTCATTGAAGTCGGTGTATATTATTATTCATCATAATATAAAAGATTTTGTGGCGAAATTAATTAATGTAGAATCAAATATTTTAAAACCGGCTATAGTCTTTCTGTAATAATAAATGGAAGAATGTAAAAAAAAAAAAAACCAATATGCATGAAGCGAAAAATCGAAATGAAAACGCGGCTCTGCAGACGCAACATGGTTTGGTTTTCAGTTAATGTAAAGATTAATAAGGTTGGAGATTGCTTTTAAGTTTTTATAACAATATAAACTAAGTTTGGTTCGATGGAAATATTTTTAATGAAATGGAGCTGGAAATAGAGGTCAGCATGTAATGGAATCTTGCAACTGCAAACATGCTTTGTAGATGGAAAATGGAATAAGCATACTTTTTATTAGATGTTTGATAGAATAATTAAATATAGAATAGGAATAAGAATAAAAATAAGCAACAGATCCTACTATTTTTTTTTAAAACTTAATATCAAATAATTATTCCGGCAAAATACGTCATTTTACCCATTTTTTAACATTAACAACACACTGGCATTTACTGAGAAGCATTTCGTATCTGTCGAACGTGGGTGTTGATTATTTTTTCCTCTTCTCATTTCCTTCTCACTTTTTCATTCCTACCAGTGGCAGCCACGGTGTTATGCATATAAAGTGAAAAGCAAATAATTGTCCAACAATATATTTTTTTTAGAAAAATATTAATTAAAATTTTTTTAGAACTTAACGTTTGAATCATATTATAAACATATATTCATTTGGTTCTAAATATAAGATATTTTTTTGTAATATAAATTATACTATAAAAAAGGTATTATATTTAGGACCGGAAGAGTAGAATAGTTTGAAAATATAAAAGTCAAATGAAATTGCACACAAACCATGGTAAAATATGAGAATATTAAATAAAAAAAAATTGCCTGGAATTAAGAGGAGTTGTGAGCTTGATGAGTCACGACTCATGAATAAAGAGTTCCGTGTAGATTTAAGTTATAAATAAAATTGCTTAAAATCGCCTTGAACTTTTAATAATTTGTATACTTCTAAATTTTGATAAGAATCTCTTCAACCTTTAAATTCGTGTACAATTAATTAGTCTATTATTATGTTAGGAGGGTACAATAGTGTAATATTGACCATATATATTATTTTTCCCCTGCATATGATCCTCTTAAATTTTGACTAATTTATAAATAATCCTTTAGATTTTTTGTTACACTTTATCATGAAACAACGGATGAATTAACGTAAAGTACGCGAATTTAAACGTTTAAGAGCTTTTTGTTAAAATGTAAAAAGAAGGCTCTTCTTGGTTGAAGGCAAATGAAAGTTAAGGCCCAAAAAAACAAAGACAAATGAAGGGAGATGGGCTTGTGAGAGAAATTCAATGTTTGCATGGTTTGGAATGCTAATGTATGTCAACGTGCACCTCGTTATCTAGAATAAAAAGTCAAAAATGTCCTTGTTATATTACCTGCTCATTCATGAGTGAGGGATAATTTAATATTTTCATTTTAAATTATGCCCTCACTGATTCCTTCAAACTTTAGATGCGAGCTATTCCATGATAAGGATATTTACCATGTTTCCAAACAAATCAAATGGCCAATTCTCTCTTCCATTCCCATTCCCTCTTCCCATGGTTGCTACCAAATGTGGCGTAGGATCCGGCCGTCACTACCTTCAGGCCAGACGAGGGGGAAAAATGAAAAAAAGAAAACAGAGAAAGAAATTTGAAGTATCTGCTTCTTATTTCTCTAAGTTTACATTTAAGGGCAATTTATTTTAGTTACAACTTCCTTTCTTTTATTATCTTTATTCGTTTTACCCCTTTTTTTGGGGTTGTCATACTCCAAATTCTATTTTACTTTCTAATGTTTCAGACGCATCGCAGAGTCACGAGAGGAACAAATTCCCTGTTTTCTCTTTTGGACATGCAGGTCAATCCCCCGTTGTCATAAGTGGTTCTAGATTTCTAGTTAATTTAGAAGGACCGCAGAAATCAGAATAGGATATATACCATACATTTATTTATTTTAGGTTCTCAAAACCTTGTCAATTCAAAGGTCACCTTTGTCCGTTAGCTATTGCCGACGAGTTCTTAAACCAAACGTCTTATTCTGCAATGCAAAGCCACCCCCTTTTCCGAAGCGCGTTATCTTCCTGTCCACTTTAATTTCACTCTCCCACTTTGATTCTTTTTAGTTTTTCTGCTCCTTCTCTGCATAATCTCACTGTTTCTTCCTTTGAACTTCATACCCTCTCCTCCAAAGCGAATATATTCTTCGCTTTCCTATTCAGTGGTCACCATTCGTTTCTTATTCTTTCTCCTCCCTCTAAACTAAAATTTTCCCCTATTTGATTTAAAGTTCTCTCTTTTGTTGTCAAAGGGATGATAATATTCAAGAACCACCGAGATCAAAGCGGTGTTCTTTATTCTTCTTAGCCTTTTCTCCCTTCCCTTTTGTTGTTCTTTGCTTGCTTAACTCGCCGTTTGAAATTAAGAGGGAAGAAGTCCAAGCCTTGAGTATGAACCGTGGGGTTCTTGATTCTGTGATAAATAGGCTACTTGAAGTCAGAGGGAGACCTGGGAAGCTGGTGAATCTCTCGGAAACAGAAATCAGGCAGCTCTGTTTTGTCTCGAGGGATATCTTCTTGAGGCAGCCCAATCTGTTGGAACTTGAAGCTCCAATTAAGATCTGCGGTATGTATTCATGACCATCATGTTTGTTTTCTCTATCGCTTCCTAGTTTATTGTTCAGTTTAATTGTCTGTGGATGCGATTCTGTGTGGTTTCTGGTGAGTTACTGAGTTGACTTTTAAATTTATGTTCTTTAAATGGATTTCCAGACAACCAAAAAACGGGGCCCAAAGTTGCTTTGTATTGGAGAAGAGAAACTTATTATTTACGGTGATTAAATTTGTAAGCGTTGGTGAAACTTTGTTCTAGGTTGGTCTTGAGTGAGTGTACTTAAATTACATTTCAATATGAGCTTCTCTGGTAATTGCATCATATTATTGACTAAACATAATTCTTGGAATGGGATGCTGCTGTAATTTTATATGTAGAGTAACATCTTTATTCTAATTGGTGCATTGATTGTGTGAGCTGGAATCTGTACTATGAGGTTTCATTTGGGGCCGAGAGTAGTCGAGTACTTAGATGTCATTCTTTATATCTTCGGCATGTGATTCTCCAATTTAGGGGGGGACCTAGCTTGTACCAAATAGCGTCCCCTCCCCCCAAAACAACAGAAATAATTATTAGCCTTATCTTATTAAGTGGGGTTAGTTATATTGATCGCACCACCTTATTGTGCTATATCAACAACCAACTTTTTAGATAAGTTGTTAGTCCTGCCAAAACAAAACAAAAAATATTTTGCTTCATATGTAATGCATGTAGATTATACATGCAGATTAGATTATATTTTGATAAAATTCTAACTTGCCCCCCTTAAAATTTTTATTTTTACCTTTCACCCCTGTTAATATTTTGTAGTTCCGTCCCTGCTCCAATTAAAACATGACAAGTGCATAATTAATAATAATATGACAATTGGACAGTTTGATTAGGTGGATGTTATTGCTGTATCCTTTTAGGGCTAAAATCTTGTATTACTAGTCCTTAAAGATTGTGTTTTGGGTTACCCAAGTACAGAGCCAATATCTTGAATCATTTCACTGTTACCAGGAGACATTCATGGTCAATATCCTGACCTGCTGAGACTTCTTGAGCATGGCGGATCACCCCCTCGGTCCAATTACTTGTTCTTAGGGGATTATGTGGATCGCGGCAAGCAGAGTCTGGAGACAATTTGTCTTCTTCTTGCCTATAAAATAAAGTACCCCGATAACTTCTTCCTTCTGAGGGGCAATCATGAATGTGCTTCTATCAACCGTGTCTATGGATTCTATGACGAATGTAAGCAAAGATACAACGTCAAGCTCTGGAAAGTATTCACAGAATGTTTCAACTGCTTGCCCGTGGCAGCTCTTATAGATGAAAAAATACTGTGCATGCACGGTGGACTCTCCCCTGATTTGTACAACTTAAATCAGATCAGGGCTTTACCTCGTCCATGTCAAGTTCCAGAAAGCGGTCTGCTGTGTGATCTCCTTTGGTCTGATCCTTGTAAAGGCATTTATGGGTGGGGAGCGAATGAACGTGGCGTTTCGTATACTTTTGGTGCTGACAGGGTGACAGAATTTCTGCGAAAGAATGATCTGGACTTAATCTGTAGAGCTCATCAGGTTTTATGTTCTTTCTATCTTGAATATGAAACTGTGATTGGGATTTGATTGTGTAGATTTGTGATTATGCATAGTGTTGCAGGTTGTGGAAGATGGATATGAATTCTTTGCTAATAGACAGCTTGTGACTGTATTCTCAGCACCAAATTACTGTGGAGAGTTTGACAATGCCGGTGCCATGATGAGTGTGGATGAGACACTTACGTGCTCTTTTCAGATTTTAAGGCCTATGGAGAAAAAACCCAAGTTTAGCTTCGGAGGCACTGCTACAGTCAGGCCTAGTGCTCCCACTAAAATAAAGGTCCTTCCATTTCTTGAATCTTGAACTTGAATTAATGCTTTGTTTGAAAAATGCGAGACATAATTGTTAAGATGGTACTATTCATTCATGAGCCATTAAAAGTTTATCTTGTGATATTGATGAACAGGAAATAATTAAAACGATTTCTGAGCGTCAATAGTTTGTGGTATTTAGTGTGTGAGAGCTCATATTCAGTCTCACCGCAGAGTAAAATAACGCTTTAATAGGATGGATGCATTTATCGTACTTTCCATGATACTCGTATGTTGATATTAATCTTGCCAGTGTTGTTTGTCTGAATAATGTTGGGCAACATTTGAACAAAGCAGTAACAAGTGTGGTTAATTTAATTGCAGGCATTTCTTGGTGTCTAGTATGAACTAATAATGGAGGTGTGTTAGATGAGAAATAAAAGGAGCCTGAGAAATGCAGTGAGTGTTGGCTTCCCAGTGAAGAAACAACATAATTAGCAATGCCAAGAACTGAGAGCATTGTTTGATAAACTGATAACTGATGAATGGCTCTGACAGGCACGGTTGTGCTGCATACAACCTTTGATAGGAAGATTCAGGTTTCAATTTTTTAGTTTTTGTTTTTTTTTGTCTTTTTAATTTTCCTATGTTTTTTTCGGCCTCTTTGGTGTGAGAGGCTGTTATCTTATTTTTAATCTTAAAAATCACGCTCTGTATTGTAATGGCAGAAATGCCAGGTTAACTGAACATCATTTGGAAGTCAGAGACACTGACCACTGTAAATTCTGATGGTGAAGGGTGCTAAGCTTCTTGCTCATCTTGTCTGGTGTAGGCCCTTGCGATTTGCAAATGTCATATTTTTCTGAATATATATATATATATATATATATATATATATTTGCGGCTCTCCGTTTTGAACTGTGAAAATCAAATTTATGAGCTGCAGCACAGAGTTTAATAGCAAATTTGTTATTTTTTAAAAAAAATGCTTATTTGTTTGCTTGTTTTATGTATCTCTGGTTTTCGGGACTCCTGATGTTTGGTTGGGGAAAAAAAAAAGTAAAAAAAAATAATTAAAAAAAAAAAAAAAGCATTTGACCATGGCTTAAGAATGGGGTCTAACAGCACCTCGCCGTCGCGCGTGTGTGTGTGTAATAGAAATAAAATAAAATAGGGGGAAAGATAATATTATCTGAACGATTCATTCTGACAACAACAAATAGGAGCAAGTATTTTCCCGAGATCCGAACATTATAACTCAATGGATAAACCGATGAAGGAACACACTCGAATCAAGGGATGGTTTCTTACTTATAAGTTTATAAATAAAATAATATTTAAAATATCCCATATTAATGTTTTCATGAGCATATTATTAAAATAATTTAATAGTTACTCTTCGGTGACTACCATTTGGCGGACGATTCTGTTAACGACAGCAGTCTCCTTGGAACTCCAGAGTAATAAACCAAATTTGGAGAATTTATTTATAATTAACTTTCTCCTCCAAGACATATTTATTTCTTTTTTTTTTTTTGGTACATAAGACATATTTATTTCTGTTGGACTGGTTTGTACCCAATCAAAAAAGGATGGGCTGATTGCAACATATTTGGGCCACCTAGACATGGAACTTGGAATACTTCCGTACCACCAGTTTCAAACTATCAGTAGGCTTTCATCTTGGACCAGAGGCTCTATACATAAATGGGCTAAAGACCCATTTAGAGGCCCATTCATGCAAGCCACGTATCATCGGGGAATTTCAACTCATTTAAAAAAACAACGTCCTGATTGACTTTTTTGGACAATCAATCACATCGAGCATCAGGCACCAGGCAATAAAAGTGTTGATTTTTAATTTATGACATAAAATAACGTCAGATTGATTTAACGAATTCTTGCATTTTACTAATAAAAACTCTTGCACTGTAAAGCGACACTACAGTGTCTGACCATTTTATTATATATAGCTATTTGATATTTAATATTATCATGATTGATGACAAATTTCGAGATATTAAACAAATTAATTAAATTGGTTAATTTTAACCGCATTTGATTATTGAAGAGCAGATCATGAAATTTCATCAGATTATAATTGCGATCTGTGTTTTAAAGCCTCCTGTATTTATCTTTCAGTACCTCTATGTCACAATAATTTGGTCACATAAGAGATGCTAGTTACAAATTTCGGACGCATATTTTTTGTTCTCGGCGAAGGCAAACAAATTGCACAAATTTTTTTTTTTTGGCCAGAGAACAAATATACCCTTAAATCATTGATGTGTTATTTATAAATTATGAATAATATAACTTAATTCAAACTTTGTATGGCCCACATTCTAATTCTTTTTAATGTTATAGGAAAGTCAAATTCATTTGTAATGAAACGTTAAGATGACGATGGATGCATTATTTGAATGCTTCATTAACTGAATGTCAACGCATATAATATGTGCAACATGATTTTAGTCTCTAAGTATTTTTAAATGGTTTATTAAGCTACTAGTAAAAATTAATATCAAAATATTTACAAATACCAATAGATGATAATGGCATCTAAAATGTTTAATTTGTACTAGCTTTGTTGTCATAATCTGTATTCTACTTTTTTCAACCACTACTCTATAATCACATTGTTCTCTAACACATACTTATTAAGAGAAATAGTCAGATAATTAAAATTTTATTTTTTTCTAAACTCTGCTCTTATTTAAATGCATGGAAAATACACTATACTCATCAAGGGAGTTGAGTAATTTGAATATATACTCTATATATTGAGTATTTTTGGAAGAAAATTATTAATTGCTCTTATATTTTGCAAGATGCCTTGTATAGTGAAATACGGAACTTTTTCAAATATATATTCTTTGTTTCAAATAGAGAGAGTATGTATACAACACAAAGTCTAAACAAGTTTTTTTCTTTTTTTTGGGGCCAAAGTCCAGACAAGTATGAGCAAAAGGACTTATAGAATCTGGAAAACAAAAAGTGACATATAATTCAGTACTTAATATAAGATTTATTTAATTAATTTAAATAGATTAAGGAATTCAACTAAATTAATTAATTATAAAAAATGTGATGTATGATCTTCTTAAAATATTCTTGCATAATTTTGGACTATATATCAATTTATAAGTTTGATAAATTAGTTGAAGAAAAAATAATAAATATAAGAGATAAAATTATATGAAAAGTTGGAAATCAACTCATTAATTAACTCATATACTCCATCCGGTTCTTATCATAAGTTTTAAATAACTAATTTACAGATAACAGATAACTATTTAAAATTACTTAAAAGTAATAAATAGGTTATGAATATATCTTTATTTTCAAATATACTATTATAATGAATAAAAAATGAAAGAGAATGTAGCAGAAATTTTGATAAGAGAGAGCATCACAAAAAAAGAGAATAAATAATTATGAGAAAAATTAAAAAAATGTTAAAATAAACTTAAATTAAAGTTTATAAAATAGACTATATCTATTTTCAAAATTGAAGCTTACAGATAAGACACGATGGAGTATTGTTTAAGACCGAAAAAGTAAGTTTCGCATGCCATGAAAGTCAGATTCATTTGTTTGTAGGACCACACGGGGATTATGATGGTTACGTAGTATTATCTATTATGTAATTAAATGCTCATCCGAAGATATTTACTTGATAAAAGTATTGATTATAAAGTAATTGTAGTCTGGTTTTCACAATAAATACAGAGAATAATCCACTAATTGTCAGCGTTATTACTTGGCGACTTAATTTGTGCGTGCGTGCGTGTTTTAAATTTGCATTTGGAGACCAGGCCCATGGTTAGTCTCACGATTGAAGTCATGATTACCTTAGTGCTCACTGCTCAGTCCCACGTGAATAGCAGAGACACTCCCAGTCGATGCTTGCCGCACGATCTAATATGTTAAATATTATCCGTCCAATTATCCGTGCTCCAAACGGGAGGATGAAACGACCAAGTGGCGCAATCTTAATTTAACAGGGAAATAAAAAAAAACTTTAATATTATTAAGAGGCGTTGATTAATAAATTTAATTTTTTTGAGGAGCAATATGGCTTTGATGATTTTAAAAGTTATGAGAGGGGGAAAGTGACAAGCAGATAGAAAATGATGAGGGAAACCGCGTCTGTGGATCATGTTTTCTTTCTTTTTTTTTCCTTTTTGGTGAAAATGAGTGAGGGTCAAGATCCTAAGGATCATGATTATTAATTGTTACTCACTCCTATCAGGAATATAAAATCCATATCCGTGACGTGTTTTATTGAGTGAGAAGATAGCATACATCTTTAGATATATATATTAGTTTTGGAAAACGATGTGAGGAAAAAAAAATTGGTTCAGCGTAAAGAAAACCAATATTTGATTACCATGTCTCATGTCTGGGGGGTTATATATAATCATTTCAAAACGAGACGAGAGCTCAAAAGCATATGCCGTAGGATATGCTAAACGCCACGTGTTTCGGTGGTCCCCGTGCCCATTTGCTTGCGTTCTGACCATGAAACCTGTTCGTTTCTTATTGCCTCGTCTGCCTTTTCATCTCCCAGTTTGGTGCTGCATCGGAGCAAAATGCCAAATTTGGAAATATAATATAATAATATTATTATTTCTTTCTGAACAAATATAATATAAATGTCACGCATTGGGGCAAAGCGTATGACTAGGTCTTGAAACATGATCGAAAATTAAGGTCACATTTAAAATTATTTATAAATATTTTTTATATAAATCGAGATAAAACTACTCTAATATATTTATTTTGTATCTCATAAATTATTATTAAAAGACTATTTATAAACTCCCTCCTTCACCAAAAAAAAATATTTATAAACTATTTTAAAGAGACTGAACCCCTGACAATGGCATGCTAACCCACGACAGTGCCGTTTCAGTGTGCCACTGTTTTGAGTGGGCCTTTAACGGGTAAACTGTTGAGTCTATTTATAAGACATTTATAAATTATAAATCATATGTTTTGTTTCATATTAAAAACCATTTAAAAAGTCACACATCCTATCTTCTTTGTTAATTTCATCACTAGCATACTTTTAGTACGTAGTCGCTAATACGAAATCAGACCCGTACTCTTGAACGAGGATAGAGAAAGTAGAATGAGCATATATATATATATATATATTGAGTTGACTTTTTAAATTGAGTTTGGAGTTGACTTTAACTTCCGGGTAAAATTTTTTACTCCTCTGGTCCTTAATATAAGACCCAATTATTGAGTTAGTTTTGGTTTTAAATATAAAACACATTTCTCATATTAATCAATTTTCTCTAAATTATTCCTATGGATACTCCCTCAACCATAATCAAGTAGAAGAGGGAGAGGGGTATTAAGAAAGATGATTATGGTGTTTTAGGAAAAATGTATCACTTTTCTCATAATTAACTAACTTACCTAACTTCCTTAATATAATCAAATTAGTTAAATGGTCATATATTAAGGACCGGAGGAGTATAAAAACTTGTTTGACTTTTATTTAGGTCTTAAATATAAAATCTCAATCCACTATGTCTTTCATATTTATCTAATTTTTTTTAAAGTAGTTTTTGTAATAATGGTAGTTGTAACTGATACACTTGATTAACAAGAATATTTTTAAAAAAAACCTATTTATTATAAATAACTAACTTAACTATTTTTTAATCTCCTCAAATTAATCAACTAACTCTTATATGAAGGATCAGAGGTAGTATATATTAGCCTAATAAGTCCCAAACACCTTAAAAAATAAAAGAAAAACCCGTTTGCCTTGGATATCAATTTGATTTTTTATACTCCTTCTGAATTTAAATATAAGATTCATTTTACAGTACAAAATATATCCATAAGACTCATTCCTCCTCACCTCAGTGCTATTGCTGTACTTGTGGTAGACTCGCATCCGGATGTCGTTATATAATTTCAAAAAAATAATTATTTAACAGTTTCAAACACCATAGGGTAATTTTTTTTTAAGAAATAGAGGAGCACAGAAAATATGACTATATGTAAAACATGTAATTTTTCTCTCTATTTATTGTTTGTTATATTTCTTTGAACATATTGGATGCATCTAACGGAATCAGTTTGTTGAAAATGTAGGAGTTATGCGCAGATTATTGGTATTCCCACTTGGTGGGTTTCTGCGTGTTGGAACACATAACATAGAAAAGTAGATAATTTGAGGCTAAATTTGTGATGGAAATTTTTTTGCCACAAATCTAGTGGCAAATTCATCTTTAAATCCCTGTGACAAATTGTACGTGTTTCGGATTTTGCAACAAAATTTTCCGCAGATCTATTTCATGAGTCATGATCCGTCACAAAAGGTTTATTTCATATTCAACGGCTACAAAAGAATTTATTATGGCATAAAACGAGTTACATGAAAGGGACCAGAGCTACTGGGACTTCAATTGACTAACCCAACAATTGCCAAACAGATCATAGGCCCAGTCCCCACCGTAAGTAATACTCCTTCTATCCTTAATATAAGACCTATTTAACTAATTTGATTAAATTAAAAAAGTTAAGTAAGTTAGTTAGTTATAAAAAATATGACATATTTTTTCTAAAAGACCATAATCATCTTTCTTAATATCATCCTTCATTTTTCTACCTAATTATGGTTGAGGAAATATCTATAGAGATGATTTAGAAAAAATTGATAAATATGAGAAATAGATATTATATTTAGAACTAAAATCAACTCAATAATTAGGTCATATATTAAGGATGAAAGGAGTACAAAGTTAAAAAAACCATAACAGAACAAACAGCAGCGAGGTTGAAGATGAAAGAGTCATGCACGAGTACTACTGTATGTGAACTAAAACTTGAGTGATTGTTTGAAATATCACATAAGGTGATGAAACTTGAAATCCAGACTAAACGTTGACAAGGCTGCCTTAAAATATATAGCCAAACCAGTAAAAATCATTTTTCATTTCATTTATTTATTTTTTAATTCCATTTTTTGTTCAGGTGACAAACGGGCACTCAAAGCTTCAATCTTCCACCACAGCGATCCCCTCAATAAGCTTATACTTTCTACATTCATCACTCACACTCCCTACGAATTAAAGAGAAGTGGTTATTATCGACTCCGTGCAAGAAAATGAAACAGATTTTAAATTTTACCCATATTTAAACACCTGTTGGTTAAGTTAGAATAATATATTCTGAAATGAATAGAGTAATCTCAAGGTTGGCATGGTTGAATGCATCTGTTGCATCATCCTCAGGTAAGGGTCACTCTTTGCTGGAACTCTTCCAAACCTCCCTAAACATTTTTCGTGTAACTAACAGAATAGTCCGCAAGCCATTTATGAAAAATGCTAGCTTATCTATCATATCGTTTGCAACTCTTATTATTGGTTCTTGTACTGGAGACCTTTAAGTTTGAGTTGTCTTACTGATGGCTGGTGAGCAACAAGGAGTGCTAACTGCGCTTGATTTGGCAAAGACCCAATGGTACCACTTTACGACGATTGTGATTGCCGGGATGGGCTTCTTCACGGATGCATATGATCTTTTCTGCATCTCCCTCATCACTAAGCTGCTTGGACGAATATACTACACTGATATTACAAAACCAAAGCCAGGGACTTTGCCACCCAGTGTCTCAGCTTCTGTGACTGGTGTTGCACTATGTGGCACATTGGCTGGCCAGCTATTCTTCGGTTGGCTCGGCGACAAAACGGGCAGAAAGAAGGTCTATGGTCTCACTCTCATTCTCATGGTCGTCTGCTCTATCGGCTCGGGCCTTTCTTTCGGCTCCAGTGCAAACGGTGTTATGATCGCACTTTGTTTCTTCCGATTTTGGCTTGGTTTTGGAATTGGTGGGGACTATCCTCTTTCAGCCACAATCATGTCCGAATATGCCAACAAGAAGACCCGTGGGGCTTTTATAGCTGCAGTCTTTGCCATGCAAGGTTTTGGGATCTTGGCTGGAGGTATTGTCGCTTTGATTGTCTCAGCCGGATTTGACCGCAAGTACAAGCTTCCTACCTACGAGGAAGACCCAGCAGGATCCATGGTACCTGAACTCGACTACGTTTGGCGTATAGTTCTAATGGTTGGCGCTTTACCTGCTGCCCTTACCTACTACTGGCGAATGAAAATGCCGGAGACAGCTCGTTACACTGCTCTCGTCGCCAACAATGTGAAACAAGCAGCCAAAGATATGTCAAAAGTTTTGCAAGTCGAACTTGAGGTTGACTAGGAGAAGGTCACTAGGCATGCGGCTGAGAATGAATCCAATAAATTCGGCTTGTTCAGCAAGGAATTTCTCAAGCGCCATGGGCTGCATTTGCTGGGAACCACTAGTACATGGTTCTTATTGGATATCGCCTTCTACAGTCAGAACCTTTTCCAGAAGGACATTTTCTCTGCAATCGGATGGATCCCTCCTGCAAAAGAAATGAACGCGATTCATGAAGTTTACAAGATTTCAAGAGCTCAGACACTCATAGCTCTGTGCAGTACCGTGCCGGGGTACTGGTTCACAGTGGCATTAATTGATTACATGGGTCGGTTCGCAATCCAATTGATGGGTTTCTTCTTTATGACAGTCTTCATGTTGGCCCTGGGCATACCATACCATCACTGGACCTTAAAGCCCAACCGAATCGGGTTCGTTGTGATGTACTCCCTCACCTTCTTCTTCGCCAACTTTGGTCCAAATGCCACCACATTCGTTGTGCCAGCAGAGATTTTCCCAGCAAGGCTAAGGTCTACGTGTCATGGAATCTCAGCTGCTGCTGGAAAAGCGGGAGCGATTGTGGGTGCTTTTGGGTTCTTATATGCTGCACAGAGCAGAGATCCTAAAAAGACTGATGAAGGGTACCCTCCAGGAATTGGGATTCGATACTCTTTGATAACGCTTGCTGTGATCAACTTCGTTGGGATGTTGTTCACCTTTTTGGTGCCAGAATCAAAAGGTAAATCACTGGAGGAGTTGGGTAGGGAGAATGATGGCGAAGGAGGTGCAGAGGGAATTGAGCATGCAGGTTCTGGCAGGACAGTTCCAGTTTGATTTGTATGATTTTGTTTGTTTTCTTTAAGAGCTTCAAATTATTATGGTATATAGTTCGTACGTGAAAATTTAAGTTTCAGTACTGGATTGGCTAGCTAATGTGTGTGATGGATGAATAATGATGTATGCAGATATTGCATATTTGCTCTGAGATGCTTCAAATCTCCAGGCATTTACGCTGTGTATATGCCCATGTTTGCCACTTTTTTCTCAATATATATATACTTCTCCGGTCCTTAATATAGGATCCAATTGTTGAGTTGGTTTTGATCCTAAATATAAGGTCAATTTATCATATTTATCAATTTTCTCTAAATTACCCATATAGATACTCTCTCAACCATAATTAAGTAGAAGAGGGAGATGTGATATTAAAAAAGATGATTATGGTGTTTTAGGAAAAATGTGTCACATTTCTTATAATAAACTAATTTAACTAACTTCCTTAATCTAATCAAATTAGTTAAATGGGTCTTATATTAAGAACCAGAGGAGTATTTGTATATCACTTTGGGTGCTACTCAATTATATTGAATAAAGATTTGTCGCATATAGTTGCTTGATTCTTGTTTCTCTTGATTTTTTTTTTCCCACGACGGGCAACTTTAACATATACACATCCAAACTCACGCACTCATATGATGGCAAGAGTAGAACCCTCAACCTTATATTATATTATTCCGGTCCTAAATATAAGATCTATTTTATAGTGTAATTTATACTGTAAAATGGATCTTATATTTAGAATCAGAAGAATATTTCTCTTTATTGGATCTTGCTGCCTTTTGTGAATTAAGTCTTTAACTTGATCTGGTGGATTAAAGAAGTTAATTGAAGGTGACTAAATCTTTTTAAAAAATCTTAATTACTTAGCAAATGAGATGAGAAATTTTGGGTATTTCATCAATTTTTTTAAACTCAAAACACATAGTTTTATTTAAGGATAATTTTGCCATTCTACTAATTTCAATAGGTCTAATTCAGTAATACCAATTAAACTTTGCTGATGATTTCCTTTCTCGACGTCACCCCAGATGTTTTTACACTTTCTAGACACCACAAGAGATCATCTTTTTCTTATCTGTGCGCGTTCCATCTTAATTTCAGTTTGATTTGACCTTCAAAGAGTTCAGTATATTGTGCTCACCTTTTATTCAATTGTTTAAAAAAAAAAGAAAGCAATCCATGTACTGCGATGATGAGCTAGTAAGATCCATGGATGATTTTTTTTTTTTAAAGAAATAAAGTTGATTGCTTAATTCCATCGCTTTGTTTATCCAATTACCAAAGCATATATAGCGCATGAGCAGTCGACAACTTGGAGGCGGAGCGTCCATCTGCAGAAGAGAAAGACAAAAGGGGCCTGAGTTGAATGTAAGCATGAAACGGTTTTGTCCTTCGGATTCTTTTGGCAGGTTGTGGACTTTTCTGCTGTTCAGGTGAAGCTAATTTAGCTTTTGGAAGTGAGGCCGGAGCTCTCCAGATTTCGCTGTAACTTGGAAAAAGTGCAGATGGAGTGGGATTGTCTGCAGCTGGTACCGGCAGTTAATGGAAAGGCTTCGTGTCCTGAGTGGCAAGTAAATAATTTGGTTAATGATTTACAAGTTTTGTTTAAGTCTAATGCTGACTTTTCTTTAGATCACACTCCTACATCTTGTAATTTGGTGGCTGATTGGCTTGCCAAATCTTGTTGCAAGGGGATGAGCTCTTTTGGTTGGGGCATTTGCCCTCCATCCCCTCTTTTTGATCTTCTTTGTTCTGACAAGACAGCTTGTAAACGAGGTATTGGCTGAGACGTTTTGTAATGAATAATGAATGATAGTTTTTCTTTGTGCAACACAATAAAAAAATTGAGGGGCAAATCTGAAAGGTAAAGGAGAGGGAAGATTGGAGAAAGACAGCAAACCGGTAACAAATGGGGCAACTTGGGGGACTTGGGCGCGGGTCAGAGGAAATGCCCGTGATGGCTGACGACACTGCTGACGAGTGATGATACAGCGACAGTCCTGGCCGTTACGCATCTGGATGTGCTAACTAAGCTTAGTGTGTGGCATTATTAATCATTGTTTTGTTTCTCTTTTTCTTATTAATTTACTCACTAATCATTATTAATATTAACAGTAATATTTTCTCCCTCTCTTAATATCAGAATTAGTTGAAGGATTGAATTTAGTATTTTTCATTTTTCAAACTAATTTATGTAATTTATAAACTAAAATATAATATAATCACGGTACATCATTGTATTGCTAATTTATTTAATTTCTTAATCTACTCACATCAGTTAAATAACTATTACATTAAATATGGAGGGAGAATATTATACCAAAATGCAAATAAAATAAACATGGTCTTCCGTAAACTAACATTACTCTATATATATATATATATATATATATATATATATATGGCGCCAACAAAAATTGGTTGCTAAAGGATCATGATGATGCGAGTCGAAACAGTATACATGCAATATTTGAAAATAAAAGTACCCCTCGTTATGAAATCGTTGACTTCTTTTAGCTGCGATTCCAAAATTCTCAACGATATAGTTTAAAGGAAATTTTTTTAAAAAAAAACGGGTCGGCAAGAATAAAAATTTATCAACATCGATGACAACTTATGAAAAATGCAATTTATTTCAAATTCTGTAAGATTTTTTTTTCCGCTAGGCTCAAATATTCTTATATTAGAGGTCTGTTTAAAATATTATCAGATATTAAATATAAAAAGAATAATGTAAGTGGTATTAATTAAAAAGAAGTGAGCCATCATCGTAAGCACCGAGCGTCCATAAACCAGATGCTGTAACTTGACTGGTTCATCTGCAGAGGAACAGCCTAGCGTGTGAATGCGCACAATCAAGCCGACCTGTCGTGCATATTTCATGTACTGCTTCGCTGTCAGTACTAAGGGCCTATTTATTGAATTAAATTAAAATTAATATTGCGTATTGGCGCTACCGACTAAAAATTCCATATGGGAAAATGGCATCACAACCCAAAAAATTACTATCTTTCATCCTATAGAAGCAACACAAGAAATTTATTTTAATTTTAAATATAGGATGTTAATTTTTTTAAAAAAAATTTACAAATTTTTTCAACGTATTCCCTGCTTGGTAAAAGATTTTTATTAAGGTAAAGAATTTTTATATTAAGAGTAGTTATAAACTTATAATCCACATGATTAAAATAAATATTTAAAAAACCCAAATTTATTATAAATAACTAAACTAATTATTTATTTAATAGCATTAAATTAATTAACCAACTCTTATATTAAAAAAATAAAGAGAGCATGATATTTTATTATTGCTATTTCTTTAAATGTTAATAGAGCGTGAACAATGATCAGCGGGATAAGTTTATCATGCATGCATGTTGGGTTGAATAATATAAGTTTATTTACTCGGATTTCTGGTGATCTAGATTCCCCATAAACTATGGGTTATTACAGAGGTTATTGAATTGAATTGGCTCAAAATGTTGGCGGGAAGCAGGAAGAAATAAAAATAATCTTTAATATAAGACCTATTTAACTAATTTAATTATATTAAGAAAGTTAGATAAGTTAATTAATTATAAAAAAATATAGCATATTTTTTCTAAAACACTATAATCATTTTTCTTAATGTCCTCCTTTCCTCTTTTATTTGATTATGGTTACAGGAGTATCTATAAAAGTAATTTAGAAAAAATTGATAAAAATAAGAAATAGGTATTATAGTTAGGACTAAATCAACTCAATAATTAGATCATAACCAAAGAAGTAGAATATAATAAAATATTTCGCAGCCATTCAAGATTTGAAATTGGAAAAACTCTGAGAAGAATGATGTGGAGGGTGAGATGCTGATGTGGTAACAGATGTCAGTCGCGGGGTCCGTCAATTTATTCCCCTCAAGCACAAAAACCATTCTATTTGTGAGTTAAAAATTGCCACATGCAAAAACCATTTTTATAATAGCCAAATTGGTAGGGAAAAATTCGCTCTTCTTTTTCGTTTATTTTCCCAGAAAAAAGGATCACCCTTCTATAAAACAATAATCTGGGTTCCACTTCAATTTTGTATAATCTGTTTGGATTAAAATTTTGAACATTCTTATAACTCAAATTAAGGTTTCTCGAAGATATATTCCATTATTCTGATTATATTTCAAAAATTTTCGCGTCACGTGCCTTAGAAGGCAATGTTTCAGTTAATAATATATAGACCCGTTACGTATTTAATAAACTTACATTTAATTTTTTTTATAGTCACAACTCAGAAGTCTCATATAAATATATATATATATATATAACATAAAAAATTCAGGCGTTTTTCTTTGATTTAATTTTGAGGTGCGGGGTACGTAAATAAACAGACTTCGATGAAATTCTTATATATGATATGATGGTGGTGGTGGTGGTGAATCATGTACTGGGAAATAATCCCTATGATCTTCATAAGAGAATTCTTAGGAAGTTCACGATCTTGATCTTATTTCCGAGAGAATCCGGCTATATATCTATTAGCATCTTCCATTTTTCCTATTAACAAACGAGAACACTTTCTGGAATGAAGCTAGTTTTATCATGGAACATTACCTAATTTTTTTTGTGCCAAAGCAATTTAATCAACTCAAATAATATGCATTTATAATATTATTATTGTATTCAATTTTTATGACGATCGAGTTATTCAATATTCTTTGGCAGAAAACTGTTATTCAATATTCATCTCATATAAGAATATTATGAAAACAACCGGAGGTGGCACAACAACTAAAAATCGAAAGATAAATCAGGCCGTTAACTTACACATATTCGGTCGATATAATTAGAGAGAGAGAGAGAAGGACGTTGACCCAAATGAATGAGGGCATATACCCCTAGATACCGCTGACACATGAGTCCCCCTTTGCCCTATATATACTCCTTCCCCTTCCTCTCTTTCCTTTCATCCCTCCTCGTCTTCCGCAACCTCCAACACCAGGTCCTCTCTCTCTTTCTCACTGCGTTTTTTGTTTTGCTATACAATATATGATGATCATGTGATAACAGGAACCTTAAAAGAGGATTCTTTTCTCGAAGTGGAAGTGGGAAGATGGCCGCACTTCTTAAGCTTTCAATTTTCTGGGTTCTCATAGATCACTGTTACATTCATTAGTTAGTGGGTCCCACTACTCATATCTTTTGAACCT